AAATAGGCAAACATTAGACGCAAGAGGCTTAGGGCTCAAATTCTATTTTTTCACCTGTTTACTATCTGAGTAGGAAAAAAAAACACGCAAAACCAAATCTTTAACACCTGGATTTAGTAGCAGACTAGTGTGAAACCATTTCCCAAGAAAGTAAAACGTTTTAGAACTCCAAAGGTGGTCTTTAAATGTATTATTTTTTTGCGTTTGCAATTTTTCCAAGATGTTTTGCATTAGAACGAGGCGAGCACACTTCAACTTTGTTTAATTGAAAGATAAACGACTTGATACAAAAGATTCTTCCAGATAAGCCATCAATTAGTTTCCACCTTCTTGTCGGACTGTCCTTACTGCATTAATTACGGCTGCTTAGGACTAGTTAATGTGCCGTTAAATAGAATAAATATGTGTTCTACAAGACTAATTCACCTATTCTGACCGAACATTTGTCTAATCTGCTTTTGAAAAGCGCCTTTTTGAAACAATGTAGTGACGATAATCAGAGTCTGCGAACTTCTGAAGGGAGCTCAAATAGTTCACCAGGTTGAGGGGGGAAATGCATCAAAATGTCTATGCAGGGACTTACAATCACTACTTTTCCTACTACTGCAGTTTTTTTCCCGATTTTGCCCTCCGAAGTTTTATCTCCTGCCGACTCAGCTGGATTCATTTAAACAACGGGGGTGTAGAAAAGAGTTTTATTTCGTTTATTTTGCGAAATTTTTTTCCTTAGGAAATTTAAAAATATCATTAAAATTCAAAGATACGCAAAATTGTGATTCCTTTTCGAAATTAAGTAGTGCGTTTGTAGCACCCTGAGGCGTCCAGTAGAAATTGGGACTACCCGGATGGTCAAAAAGGCCAGTTTATCCGGTGAAGGTGCAATGATGGAGCATCTAAGTGACCGCTTTACAAAATCAGATAGCTAAATAAACCACCAACGTATTGCGTAGCCCCTCCCCTCCCTCAAGCTTTGTCCCCGGCACTCCCGTAGTTCAATTTTCTGCGTAGTCGGTACTGTAAGGAAACACCCACAGGCCGACCGTCCCAGTCGTTAAATTTCCGTGCGATTGAGAAATTCCTAGACCGCAACGCCACTGTTTCCTCCTGGCAATCCTACTGCACCTAGGGTTCTACTTGGAATGGGAACTGGATTCGCAGACGTTGGCAATCGGGCGTGTCCGTAGCTAGTCGTAGGAGCATTGGCCCGGAAGCTTAGTCATGTAACACGGGAAGGGGTTTAGCACAGTACCGTTGGGGTACAATTTCGCGTGTATTCCTCCTTGCCACGTCGTTCTCACTATAGAGGTGCCCAGTCGTATCTATTTGGGTTCTATCCAGCTGGAGGGGAAGTGGAGAAGGTATCGCGAATTCACCTTGTCGAAATCTTTATCCAGGTACTTTAAGCAACTCCCTAATGAAACTTTTCCAGCTGATTTACAAGAAGAGCTGCTTCTGTTTTGAATGGTTTCCCTGTGGAATACGAGACTGGGGTAGTTACCGAAGCTCTAAGTCATTTTCAGACCTTCTGGTAGGGGTCAGCATCGCTCCTCCCATCCACAGCGTACGCACTTCTTCCGTCCTGCTGATGTTAATCACCCAGTAGGAGACGTCGAAATGGATGTTTATTCAAGGCAGGGGTCGCTTTCCGCGAGACTTCTGGTGGGGCTTAGGACTGCTGGCATGGTTCGGTGGCCAGTCCACCCGGAGAAGGTACAACCGATGGGGAGGGCAGCCAACTGGCCTCTTTGTTGAATTCGCGATTTAAGCAGCCGCCTTGTTGTAATGCTCTTTGGCGAGGAATTTTAGAGGAGCTTATAATGACGAAATCTATTAAAACAATTATTTTTTTGTATTCGCACTTAAAAAGTGTTGGTAAAACACCTGCCTGAATTGTGGGTGAAATATTTTGGATGCCTAGCAGCGTAGTCCCTCGGATCTGATAAGTGTTGATCCTTACCAGGTAGAAGCGTCCTCCGTCGACTTTGAAATGTCCATTTTTGATTATACAACTTCAATTGTTTACTAATATCGTAGCAATTTTACACGAAATTTCTGTAAAATCTTTACCACGTCACATCCGCTTGGGTTAAGAAACCAAAAAAGAGTTTTTTTCCACCCACAAAGGTCCACCATTTAGGCAATCCAACCTTATAATTAAATCAAAGTACTTTAAAAAGCGTATTTATTAGTCTACCTGTAAATCTTATCTTTAATTTTGAGCATTTCCTCCGTCATTGTATCCCCTCTCCCGCTATCCCTACCCCATCCTCTCACTGTATCCCTGTTTCCGCCGGTTCCTGTTTCCGTTCGCTTATCCTGCTTTTTTACTCAGATTTGGAACATTTAATTCTGCTCAATTTTTCACTTTTTAAAGGCAAACACTTCGAGTGAATTTTTTAAGTCTCGTGAATCTTGGCTGCCATTCTATTTTCTCTATGTGATAACAAAAATAGGCGAAGGTTTTATTGTTCAGGTTTGCTTGCTTTACCTACTTTAAAAGCGAAGTGAACAGATTAATTTAAAGGCAGTTAGAAAATGGTTTAAAGTTTTTGAGGCTACAGCTACTAAGATTATACAATTTTCAACCTTTTATAAGCATTAAATACCGTGAGCTGATGATGCGTTCTTTCCCCTTTACACTCTCATAATCTTAAGCGATTACCTAATGTATTTGGCGACATTGGAGGTACTACGGACACCTTTTTATGGACGGGAATAAAAGTCCTTTATGGGCCAATTTTGACATTATAAAGGAATTTACTTTCTACTAAATGAAAATGGAACTATTTAATCATTTTCTTGATGATAGAAAGGATATCCGAGATCGACTGACTTGTGGAAGCTGTGCTACTCGACATAGTCTACAGGATGCCGATATCTTTACGACCGATACAAGCGCAGTTCACTTACCTTGCAACAAAGGCTAGAGAGGATAGCCAAGCTACGATGGCCGGCTATTTATGGAAGAAAAATTCATTCTCTGGGAAGTGGCAACAACGGTAAGTCGTTCACTGTAACTACTTATGATTCTAATTAAGTAGTACGCGTATTTGCACATAGGTGTAGGTGTAAAAGAGTAAATAGACCCTACAAGGAAAATTGGGGCTTAAAACTTATGAGTGGAAAGGATAGGCGCTTCCAGGTAAAATACTCTGCACATCTGTACTTTTCTGTACATTTCTCTCCACTACCTAAAACACAGCTTTAAGGTTGGAGGGCTTCGCACCAGGATTGAAGCACTTTGCGACACATAGCCCCTCCAACACTTCCCTACGGCCAGTGTAAATTAGCTTTTAAAGATGTAAGTATGTGTCAGCTATTGTGTTCGCTGTTCTCACGGGAGGTTTCGTCTCTGATGTCATCATAAGTCAGATTACGCGTCAGTCATGAGCCTTGGATAAGACGTTTCACTAGTCAGTTTCCCTATCTTGGGAATGACTGCCATGATGGTGTAATAACAGCGTAGGCACTGCTACTCGAACTGTCATCGACAGACGGAAAGAGAGAAATACGATCATCAATGAGGTCTTTATGGTTTTCATGTGTCATAAAGCTAAACGACTGAACATGCACAGTAAATTTCAGTAGCCTCGAAGTTGCCAATTCAGAAAGGAGAAGTGTGTCCACGAAACTAGTGTCCGATGACAAGCGATAATTCTTTGGATTTAAGGGTTATTGGCGTAAATAATGGGAAAATTAAACATTCCAATACCGCTAGCTTGCATTTAGTCTGGTCGAAATTAAGTAGTATAGCTTAATTTGTCCAAAGTGGACTAGAGACGACTGTATTTTCTGCTAAGAGAGATGCGACTATACTACTGATATAAGTATTTGAGATAGGTGGCATATGCAGAACGAGAACAAAGGATAAAAAAATTGGGGAAACCCTGAATCGACTAACACCAGACGTAAAACTATTGCAAAACCCCTCCTCTAACCAACCGTGTTTTTTTGATTTACCCCCCCTTCCCAAAGTTTGCCTTCCCAAAGTGTCCAATTTTTAACATGGAAAACAGAAAGTGGTTTGGATGATTTATCGTCGCAAAACACAAGGAAAAGCCAATTTGTTATATAAAAGGGAAAAAAAGAAAAAAGAGAAAAGGCTTTGTAAAGTGTGAAAATCCCCAATCATGAGATGCATTGTTCGCAGCGTTGAAGTAAATTCCCAAAATTATTTGAAAGGCAAAGAGGATTTAAAGCATAAATTTTTCTAAAAGCTGCTGCTTTGTGGAAGAAAACCAACCCGTAAGTGGCGTTGATACGCCCGAGTCATCTCCGTCTCTCTAATGGGACGAGGTGGGCCAAGGAATGTTTTATCCCCCCCCCCCCCGGCTGTGAGGAAGGTCTGGGTGGACACGGCTGCGGAGATGTGCCACCAGATCGCACACTTTGACCTCAAACTATTTATACAAACAAAAAGGAAGGATGATGAAATCTTGGATAAAGTAGTCCTTTCTGAACTGTACCATCAAAGCATTGGGATTGCTTTATGTTGGAGTCCATTTTGTCCCTCCTTATCTTTAAAAATCTGAAAAAAACCTTATCCCCAACCCCAGCCCCATTTGTTTCTAACTAATCCTTAATAAATAATCATGTTCTGCCCACAATTCTCCTTTTCCCATAAAAAGTGCATTTTTTATGATTTCCTGTGCGTCGGGGCTGTTTGAATAGTTTGTACCGCATTTCAAAGTCACTTTGTAGCGCAAAACTCTCTTCTGTGTTTACCAAACTGCGTGCGACTGCTGACGATAGCATTAAAAATAACTTTATCTACGTCAGCTACTTCGTTTTAATCCGTCCTGTATTTAAATGAGGTGCGTAAATCAAAATAAACTCGCCATTGAGACTCTGGATAGCGCGAATCACAAACTTGCAAAAGTATACAAGCGACCTCGCAATTTAAGATAACGGAATTTTGTTTAGTTTACATGCATAGTTGTACTAAAATGAGATGAACGGTTTGTCGTTTTGCCTCAAGATACTTTGTGCTCTACCAAAACATGCTTTTCCAATTCGAGTCGGATAAGTTGGACAAAGCGCCGTGTGGAATGGCGCTACTGGAGGGCTCCTACTGCGAGAAAACCCTCGTACTGCGGACCTCCCGCGACACGCGCATCGCACCGCAACACGATGTGAGTTTGTTTTAATTAATCAAATCAGTTAATCGGTAAGCGGGCGCCAACTTTCCACCACCCTACTGACAATGCGGCTCAGCGGACCAAATTTTGGTATATAAAGTAAGAAAGCCGCTGCAAGTTATTAGAAATACTTAAAGTATCTCCTAAAAGTGGTTCCTTGTTATTTATCAGATGACATATTTACAATTGGACTGATACTCCTTTATGCCAAAACGTAGCGGTGTGATCGAAGGCAGAGTGATTTCTCGCCAGGAGAATTTACTCCTAAAACCAACATTTACATCTGGCCACCGACCTGTACACCTTAAAAAGAATTATTTAATGGTAAAACACTTTTTTTGATGGAGTGCCTTCAGATGTGTGGAATCAAGCCAAATTCGAATAAAAAAAATTTGCGGATCTGAGACGGATGTCTGATTGAGTGAACGGGTTTGTTGGTGGAGGGAAGAAGGGGAGTGGGGCTCAATAAATGGTTGGATGGATGAGTGAATTCATATTTGGGAGGATGAGGAGATGGACGACTTGGCTGGCCAGACAAACGAATGAACAATCGGGTCAATAGACTGACAGATACATACACCCCTGATAGATGATTGGTTGGGAAATTAACACCTCATACCTGAATGGTTGGAGGGTAAGATTGATAAGTCATTTAGAAAGATGGAAATTTTAAGTAAATCAGAATAGTTCACTCAATTTTAGCATCCATTATGAATCATGCTATTAGTATTTTCAGTATTAGTAAAAATCTAATTAGTTTGTCGAAAGATTTTCACAATTTAACCAAAGTTGTGATGCGGCAGATCTCGTTTTTATTTTTGGAATATCAGGACTACGAGAAAACACAATTTCTAAAATACTGCCTGATCAATTATTTAAAAAACCTCTGCTTTCCTTGCCACAACAATTTTAATTAAGTTCTGTGAAAATAACCCTAAGCATTTGTTGTGGCAACGTGACTACCGACAACAAAAGTTAGAAATAAAATATATAACGAAAAACTCCGTTTTTTATAAACAAAAAAGCTTTTATGGTATTTGCTCTAAAGAACCCGTAATTTTAAGCAAATGTGTAGAGACTACGTTTAGAAGTAACCAGTTGAGTACATTATGCTACTATTAATTTAACAGTCAAATTAGTAGCATTAACTAATGATGCAAATGTGGGCCAGTACGAAAAAGACCAAAGCTGAATGCAAGAACGCTTAACAATTAAAGAAGTGATACCTTTTTTACTGTCCTTTTCACATCGGATGCGCTTCAGCACTGCTTCACCATCTGCTGTTTGCCGAAACGCAAGAAGTACTACGAGCTGCGAGCGGACAGTGAGGAGAAATGCGACGACTGGGTTGCAGCCATTCGAGGTGCAAGGTGAGCAAATAGGTTTTTAAAAAAGTTGGTCATAAAACCTAAAAAATACTATTTAATTGCTTAAAAAGGCATATTATGCACCTGAAAAAATCCCAAAAAATGGGCATATTAGATACTACTGAATTATGGGTAAAAGTAGAAAGTTATAATTAGAAATCCAGTCTTTATGAACGCTTGGCTTTTCTTTTGAATTAAGGCATTTCGTCAAAATCTGTAGGACAAATTTTTGGGATGGGTGTGGCTTTTTTCTCTTCAAGCAGATTGTGCAGTAAGAACGTCAAAGAAACTTGTATTTTTCGTTTGCAATTTTTTCATTTTTTTGAAAACTTTTACATTTGAATTAAAATTTTATAGTTTTTTGAACAGTTTAAGGATAAATTGTTCAAGATTCGTGAAAATGGAAGATTATCAAAGAGCCAGTTGTGCACAGGCCACTTCTGATCTTGGGCTTCACATTACCATTCAGCGCTCTTGATCATTCTCCTGTGATGTCCGTCGAAAAGTTGATATTAAAATAAAAAAGTATTAGTCTGTAAATGTTAACAAAGGCAGCGAAAAATTTAACCGAAACCTTCATGAAGCCTTTTTTTGATTCTGAAGGAATGAGAAATCGGATAGTAGCCAAGGATTTGCAGGCGTTGAATTACATTATACGGGTCGGACAGTGCGTCACAACAAACGCATTCCATACATCAATCATTTGACGTAGTAATATCCACCCAAATGCAACGCTGCTTAGTAAAAGATATCGTTTAATGTAAAGTTGATAGAACTCACCCGCCTCATCCATTCCACCTTGTCACTGCTCCACCGTCTCACTTCCACCTGTTCCATTCTATTCACATGTTTCAGGTGTGGTGAAGGCATCACCCACTTGTGTGTGTTTTATGTGCCTCCGTATAAGTGTATGCAGGTGACTCCATATTAGATGCTATCAAATCACTTACGTTGAGTGTGGCCCCACTGCCTGACCGCCTTCAAGTGGTGAAGATTGAGACCCTATTTGTTGGCAGTAACGTCAGATCGCGCCATCCACAGCAGAGTTCTCCCCCTGTGTGAGTGATACATGATGACTAGCCAGGGAAGGGAAAGTGGTGGCAGACTTGTATCAGGATGTTTTGTCATTGTGGTCAATGTGGAGATGGAAGAAATCACTTGTGATTATATCACAGGCCAGCCACACCACAAAGGAGGAAAGTGTGTTGCTAGCGTAGGGAAAGATAAGGTGTCTAAGAAAATGGGTTCCGAGGACGTCAGTAGGATGCGAGCTCTAACGGATGGTTCTTGTAAGATATGCGTGATGACCCATCCAGGTAAAGAAGTACTGATCCATCGTTTTGTGGTTTTCCAAAAACCAAGATGGCGTTTTCGATTGGATTCTCCTTCATGTTGGCAAAGAAGTGGATGTAGTCTTTCCTTTGTAATGTTTTAATATATAGGCGGCAAATGCTTCAGTAGTACTAATCCCCCCTCCCTATATTTTATAATTTCTTACGCCAAATACTGGCATAATTTGTCAAAAATATGTTTGAGAATCTATTTTAAATTTTAAGAACGTTGGAAATGCTCAAATATAAACTAGATTTCCATTTTGTCGCCATTTGTCATGATCACCTAAAGGAATTTGGAACAATAAATCAAGTTTAATAGTGTCCCATTTTGGATACGATTTTACCAAAAAAATTGCGTTTACTTTTAAGCTTAAAACTTTTTCTTTTAAAGTAAAATCCAGTTTAATTGAAGTTTTGATTGGAATGCACAAAACTACCCGAAGGTGGACTACTTTGCTCCCCATCTCCAGTGGGTTGGTGCTGCTGACCGAATGATCAGTCTTTCCTAAATCACCTCCACTTTTGCATTAATAAGTAATTTTTATTTATATTTTTCTCTTTAGTAAAACTCGTTTACATTCTTTTTCATAAAGTTGATTTCCGCCTCTTTTTAAGAGGTTCTCATTGAAGGCGGCATTGCCTGTAGCTGCGGCAGGGCAAAGCATAAATCCCTTTGATGCCTTTTAACCCACAGATGGGACCTAGGTCATTAAAAATGTTCTTTTTCTTCTGCTATTTAATCCTCATATTAAATAAGCAGGCCATAAAGCCCCCATTACGCCCGTTTAGTTGAATTGTTTGCCTATTCCAACTATGCAATTCTACCCCTACCTCATTGATACGAGGTCTCTAGAGGACATCCGAAGCAGTATCGCCATGGGACTCAAAGCAAAAAAGGACATCGTGGTGTTACAGTTCAAAATGTTGCAAATTGTAGGCCTTAGTATTTAATTCTGTCCCGAATCCATTAAAGGTTAGTCGAGGTTAGGACTGACCTATCAACGCTCTCATGAGCTACGTCAGGTCGCTGGCCTGTGCAGCTAAGTCCGCCTAGCTATTAAATCATGCTTTGGACCCACATATTTTATTGTTCGACCAGTGATTTTATTTTCATACCCTTAGATAGCATAATAGCTCCAGTGGTTTCGTAAAGAAAGGTAAATAACCTGAGGAGGCTCCTCCAGCCACCTTGATCGTTGGCATTAACAGCATTTCGGCCTATTATCTATCCCCAGGCATACAGACAGGCAAGTGAAAGCTCACGAATCCCACCTTTTGGCCAAAAGCACACTTCCAACTGTCTTCGTTTCCCAACCGATCACTTCTGATTTCCGGATGTCGAAAAGAGTGACCTAAATTGATTCCAAAAAAACAAGGGTGAGGTGAGACGGTGCCTCATTCACTCCCTACTATTCAATTGTGTGGTGAAGATTTTGTATGATTAAGTCCTGGAGAGGATTAGAGCGTGAAGTCCTATAAAATCCTTTACAAATATGGCTTTCTTTCCATTTTGACCTATTTATTGTTTCTGGTTGATTGGGATAGGTTTAGTCCATATTTACTGCGTCTGCAGTCCGCCAAAAACACACGCAGCTTGCAAATCCAGTCTCCTGAGTATAATATGATACGCGACCCAGTAGTGCGGGATGGAATGTAACTGGATCTTTTGGAAAAACTCAGTAATATGTTCATTCGCTATTGCTCATCATGAAGCAGCTAGTCAGTCAGAAGGCGAACCACGGAAAAGGATACATTAAATCTTTATAAAGTAAGTGGAAGAAGTGGGGAAAATGGGATGTGATGCGCAATTCTTCCGCCTCCGCCACGAATGCTTTAGTTAATGCAGATGAGCCGAGCATGTCGAACTTTGCACCAAGTTGTCTTGATGCGACCAGCGCCTGTCATTACTGCCCAGATTAAAATAAAGTTCTTTAAGATCGCAAAAATAGTGTTTTCCTGTTTTTAGTGTAGCTTATTTGATAATTCATCGCAAAAATTAAACTTTTACACTACTTCTAGGTGCACCTTGATCCGACGTCGGTCTTTGCCAAACGTGGTACCAAGAATTTCATGAGAACAACAGTGCGGTATCTTGCGGTGTTTAGCTCATTTGAGGTTAAGCATTGTTCGATGGCTTTGGTCAAAGAATGGAAATTGTTGGGACTGAATTCTTTAAGACGAAACAGGTAATGCCGCGGGATGGATGCATCCCACTCACCGATCGGAGATGGTGGAATTTTTAGCCTTGAAGAAACGCTGTTCAGTAAAGGACGTCGACTAATGTGAAGTTTACCAAACTAACCCGCCTCCTTCATTCCACCTTGCTACTGCTCCATCGTCTCACTTCTGTCCAGGAGCGCGTTCCACTTCACCTGCTCCTAAGCCTAACCATGCTAAAGATGTAGAACTATGCTGCTTCTCTTTGACATTCTCCCAAAATGTTCAACCCAACAACGCATTGTGCCTTTATTTTATTTCTGGATTAGTTAAAATCTTTTTACAAGAAAATTAAGCCATATTTCAATCATCGCTTATGTATCTCACAAACTGGTTGGATTTATTTATGCGACATGCTCGGTTTGGTACGAGGAGTCGAGATGAATCCAGCTAGAGGCCGTAAGAAGGGCTGAAAAATAAGTTATAAAAAAAACACCAGTTTTTAAAAAAACGTGTAGCAAATTCATCTTCATCTTCATTCTTTACGGTTCCTTGGTACAATTCCACCTTCATCTGCTTATACTATACTCTGTTAAGTACCCCTTCAAAGTGGCCTAGCCACAAGCGGATGCTACGAAATCTGAATAGCGAGAGATGTCAAGGCTCACGTAAACTAACATTTTGATGCACTGATAATGTTCTGTTTCCTGAGTTGGACGAGAGCGCAGATTAATACCTTGCAAAGTTTCTCCTTTTATTTACTTCGCATAGCCGGCATTGAGATGATGTTTTTACAATGAGGGCATTTGTCTTCCCTTGTCATGCTTCCATTTACTTTGTAGCCATCTAAATGCACTAAAGATTATCATGAAGCTTTATTGGGACGGTGCTTGTTTCAATCACATATTTTACTACATCGGCCCTTTGTTTGGATTGGCTATTACATGAGCCTCAGAGAAGTTCGCCTCCTGTCATGTTTATGGCTATTCAGGGTTAATTTTACCCTCTTTGAGTCTGATACAGTCATAATAACTTCAAAGAAGACGGGTCGTTTTGGGTCGTCTTTGCTTCTTGCGGGTGATAAAAAGGCACTGGACGATTAGAGGTAACTGCTGCTTCCATGATCCACAGAAAACCCTTTCCATAACACCAAAAAAGTCCACTAGAGTAAAGCATTACCTGTATAGCCCATCAGTTATCCCTGAAGAGGTTACGAGACGGTGTACGAAGAGCTTAAGCGATTTATGCCAAGTCGCAGACAAACGTAAACGGATTAGTGAAGTTAAGGACGCAATTCAAACAAAGTGCTATTCACCACATTTCTACCCTCTTATTTAAACTTTTTACCCCATAGATACTGCAGTGTAATTGAGTCCAGACAGGAGCTGAAGGAGAATCAGGCCTACCTGTTGCAGATCTTGGAAACAGAACGAAAGGCTAAACTGCAGTACCTTCAACAAACCGATGAGTTGGAAGCCGAAATAAAGAAGCTAAAAAACGAAGTAAGTAGACGAAAAGCATCTATGACGAAGCTAGACGTGGTCATTAGAATACTCACCACTGTGATTGCCTCCACGATGTGTGTTGGAAGCGACGACTTAATTTAGAAAGCAGTGGCTCTACAACTAACCAATGATGGGATAATTTATAGATAAAGGGGAGATCTGGTGCTTGGGGCATTCAAGAGCCCTGTTTACTAAAACGTCAGGGGTTATATAAAAATATTTTTCATCAGTTCTGTATCCATTCATCAATTAGTTCAAAATATGGAAGTTAGGCAACCTACGGTCGATTATTCCCTGTTGATCCGTCAAAGACTTACCTATCCATGATCTAGCCAATCGGTCATATTAACTCCTATCAAGACCTTCAGCTTCAAACCCTTCTTGATTTGGCCGACGATTTCATGATGACTTCCTACTGTGCATTCAGTTGAAGCATCCAAAACGTTTGCTAGTACAATTTATTAGGCGGCTATCGTGTCACTTAGGGAAATACCTCGCACCCTAATTTTATTCAAATGACTAAGTCGTAATACTTTGTGAGATTTCCTTTACAATTTGACAAAACCATCAGATTTGGAATTAAATTAAATGGTAAAAAATTGTGTCTTACTCCTAAAAATTGCCTCCAGAATTCCACTTTTCGGATTTGCTAAGCCTAATACACAATAGGTGTGTTGTTCTGGCACGTGAAAGCCTTCTGCATCACCAGGACCCATTTGACTGATGCACTTACAAGGGAAGGAAGTAAAAAAATGTTTCAATGAGACCGAAAAAAGTGACAGGTGTAAAATACAATGGAAAAACTGACTTAACTACAAAAAAGCTCCTCTTTTTTAATATCGAAATAACATTTGCCTCTTTAATAAAGCCGAATTTTTGCACGACTGCATTGGAGGTGGAGAACAATCAGGTGTGTCTAGAAGGGACGTCAATTCCTGCTGCCATCATCGACTTCCCAAAGGAGGGAGATTAAAAAACTCCTATGCGTTTTTGACGTGGAGTATTGCCCTATTATTTATTCACCACTGTTTGCTTGCTCCAGCTCAACGCCATTGCTCCGGCCAAGCCAAGCAAGAGCATGTCCATGGAGGAATCTGACCAACTGCGCAAAATCAAGAAGGTAAATGTTATGCGTCTAAATGTTTTTGACACTGTGGATGTTCATTCTCCGCCTTTTTGGAGGCTGTAAATATTGTTCTTTTGGAGGGGTGGGTGTCAGGTACCCACTCCCTCCTTTATCCGGTTGACTGACTCTGTAGATCGGTAGTAAGATTTATTAATCTTATGCAAAAGTGAGGGCAAAAATTGTCCTCTGCTTTTGCTTTCCGCAATACGCAGGTCATCGTGAAAAAAAGAGTAGGTGAGTTAAAGGACGAGTTTGTGTCGGGAGCGCCAATTCATCCTCAACGGTATGTGCGCATATAGTCGGGGGGGGGGGGGGGGTGACGAAAGGCCTTCCTCTCTCTTGCTCCCTCTCCTGAGATGCCAGCAATGTATTAAATTGACAGCTGGATAAGCAAGAGAACTGACCAAGGAGATTTGATTCGTCACGTTTTGATTTGTAGCACTAAAGTTGGTGCTGAAACAGACGCCAAGAGAAGGGTACACCTATAGGCACTGGGATGTCGCAACCACATACCCATTTATCTACATTAAACAATCATGCAACACTAGCAACCAAAAAGACAACTTCTGTGCGTAAAAGGTGACCAACAAGACAAAAGGGGCTTCACTTTTTTGCAAATGAAGAGACAAAGTGGTGCAGAGATGCCGCCTAATCCATTCAGCCCCATTGTTGGGTTTTTCACCTTTTTTAACCTTTAATCATTCCCAAAAGGATTTATATGGAATGCGCAAAATGAAGTAAACCCAATAAGAAGTAAAAATTTGTGAAAGTTACATTTGGCGCTTTGTATTCCCTGGGTCTCTGATGTGTTTAAGGAGACCGGAAAAAAAGCACTTTTTGAAGAAGCATAAATCTCCCCTTAAACAGGAAATGGCAGCCCAGTAAATGAATGGCCTTTTGCCGGGGGTTTGAGAATGCAGAAGGCACAAAAAAAGCGATAAAAATACCAAACGTTAGACAATCTTATTGGCACATTACCCTTGCTTTTCACCATCCCCTCACTAAGCATCTGATTGGCTGCCGTCACAATCACCTCAATTGACCCGAAGGGAGGATGGAGGAGGAGGGGTTGAGCACAAAGCATGGTCATCATGTCAAACGATGATTATTTTAGCAAATAAAGCAGTTTTGTTTTACTGAGGTTTGGTTCTTTTAAAAAGCCTCGTATAAACCGAATGGAAGGCATTGAAAACTAACACTCCTCCTTTAAGGAAAAAACCTCGGCTTTTCTTTCGCTTTTCGATAGCTAATTACCTTTAAGCAATATGCGTTATTTTCGTATTTCTCTTTAATTTACAAAACCGACTCATACCACTCCTTAGGGCATTTGAGGCATAAAGCTTTAGGTATTTGCATTTTGTCCCGCAAATCCTTATGCCCTACACCTTTCATTTACCGGATAAGGTCAAAACTAATCATGACTTGTTAAGTAGCTGGCTGAAATAAAGAAACACATTCGGCGATTTCCTGGAATCTTTGTGATTGCTTTGCAATATAGGAACTCACTGCCGGTCTAAATGCAACACAAAACGATCAGCCAACCATTTATCTATTATTTTTGGGAAATAGTCATGAATTATACCATAGAACATTTACCAATAAACATAATTCCCTTGTTTAGAAATGCACTCGCATATTTATTAAAATTAAATCTTCGTGAGCATCTTTCCATGTTTTTTTGGTCATGGAATGGTACTCTTCTTACCACCGAGGAGCAATGCCGCCACCTATATTTTACGAAATTTAAAAGCTCTAGTGGTCCTCTTTTACGTATATTCCTTTGGCTCCAAAAACCAAAATATAGAATAGAAATTTTTTAAGGAATTAAAAAAATTTTTGTAAACATTTTACTGCTTTATATCCTGTTCACGTAGAAGGTGTGTGCGTGCATCAAGCCAGCGATTTGAGGAAACTCATACATGTCTATCAAAAGTGTTTCATTTTATGCAATAGCCTATTACTCACAGTTCATAACGCCAGAATGGCCCAACGAACCGCACTTGCAACATGTGGCTCGCTTTTGTGATGCAAAAATGGGAGCTAAACTTTTTGACTTGGCATGGAGACACACTACTTATTAGTACCTTAAGTAGCTTTTCACCTTAAGCTGTTCCACGCTTAAAGCACTGTTACAATAGGCACCAATTTTCACAAGTCTTTCAAAAATAACCACTGGCACTTAGAACATTAGTCTACCAAATGCTTTTCAACCTTAAAACCTCTGTATTTTTCTTTCTCAAAATGCGTTTTTACACCAACGTCTTTTGGCGATGTCGCACACTTTAAGGTCCACACGGCATTAAAAACTGCGGCTGAAAATAAGTTATTTTTCTTGTATAAATCTAATACAACAATTTTAAGAACATTTTAGGTTAAAACCGACTTATTTTAGTAGGTAAAGTGTTCCATACTTCAGCTGTTACTATTCTCTTTCTTTAGAGATGAATCAAACTCTAAAATGAAAAGGAGACAAAAATTACCTTTTCCGTAGAACAACATGACATTTTTTAAGGCAGTAAGAGGTGACTTTGCCCCAATACACAATGCGGCATAAATAGCGTTAGGTCAATTTCTCCCTCTTTCTCCTTCTCTTCAAATGACCGAGGCAGCCTCCGTTGGGGATGATATTGCTCCACCTTGTGACAAAAACATTGAAAGAATTTCGGCTTTCTAACGTCAAAATTGCTTTTTTCCCTAAACTTGTGGGTCAATTTTAAAAACTTTTTAGGCAGACGACTCCGGAAATAATTTATCTAGAAGGTAAAGGGAAACTGGTAGGCTAAGCGCCATCAAATATCACTAACTACGTCCCCAGATGTACTTTGTAGGAGACTCCTAACGCTTAAAACCTTCTCAAAACTTTTCATTTCGTAAAATACGACAGGTCTGGTCTTTTTTGTTCACCAAGGTTCAGTCATTTCTTCGTGGTTGGCTATGCCGACGGCGATGGAAACACATCGTGGAGGAGTACCTCCTCTCACCTCACGCGGAATCAATGCGAAAACGCAACTCCATCGTCTTCAAGCTGTTTGAAGGGGAGGAGGAATATGTTCAACAACTAATCACTCTTGTTACCTGCTTCCTCCGACCATTCAGAATGGCGGCCAGCTCAAAGAAACCCATAATAACACATGAGGATGTGAACTCTATCTACTTAAATGTGTAAGTAGCGTGTCGCCTTGGTCAAGTAGACTAATCAAGGAATAACGATACCGCATTTAATCTTGAGACCAGATTTCTGTTAAGTTTGGCAGCATTTTAACTGTTTAGCTTTAGGAAAAGAGTTTACCACCAATGCTTCTGTCTGAAATACATTCATCCTCTGGCGTGTTCTTCAGAATTATGGTGTCGGTAGTGATTGGATCATTTAAAAGTGTCAACCGCTTGTCAGACAACTTAATGCAAGTCTGTTTTGCCATCAGTTTGACATTCCAAGTCCCCTCTACACTCGCGACAGGTAGTACTTGCTTAGGGAAAGCTTTATTCTAAACACACGCAAGGGGAAAGGCAGAGAGGAGCTGCTGGATCCGACTAACATGCTCACTTTCCTATTTGTTTAAGAGTTTCTTGCTCTATTCTTGAGTCGAGTAAAAAAATTTAACATCTACAGTGAGTCCTATCCACTAATGCATATTCGGAAACCTTTTTATTGCCTGTTCTTGGAATTTTATCTTTTTACCTGTCAATTCAAGCTCATATCCAGTACCCAGACCAAGTAATCAGACTTGATAACCGCTTGGGGGGAAAATTTTTGGACGTATAATTTGTTTTGTTATTGACAGAAGTAGCGTAAAAGGCGACGTCATAAAGTCAGGCCAATAAATGATACCATGGGGACTTAGAACCTCACGCAGTTTGACCTACCCCACAAACAAATATCATCTTGTTTGTTAAAATACAAGCATCTTTTGTTTGCACATTAACTCTTATTTAAGGCCTCAGAATTAACTAGACTTCTGACTTTATTTGAAGTCGACAAAATGGTAATGTTGTAGCCTGGACTGGGCTGCATGGGCGTCAGCCTATGCGTGGGGACTAGCGTGGCGCACTGTGACTCCTCCAAAGACAAGGAGATATTGCATCCAAGGGGAGTGTTTATCCAAAAATATGTATAGGTGTATATTCCGCTGATAGCAGGACTAGGGCTACTGGCTTGGCCCATGGCACAGCTCACTCGGAGATGGTAAAATCCTGGGGACCCAAAGTGGCCCCCTTTACTAAAACCGGGAAATAAATAAACCTCAAACGTATTACCTACTCCCTCTCCTCTTTCGAGCGTCGCCCTCAGCGCTCCCTTTGATCAGTCTTTCCCGTCAGCCATCACTCAAAGAAAAACGCTCGTAAGCTAACCGCGCTAGTTACCGAATTTTAATGCATTTGAGGAGATACTTGACCGCAAAGTCACTGATTGCACCTTGCAATTCCACCGGATCTGGAGTTCCGTCCTGTACTTGAATTGGAACGTGCTGGCCATCGCGCGTATCCATAGCGAGTCGTGGGAATATTGGCCTCAAGGCGGTCATGTAACAAAGAACGGGCTCGAACAAGGTTTCGTAGGGATAGGGTTTCGCGTCTGTCCCTTCTTGCCACGCTGTTATCACTTTGGAGCTGCCCAGCTGTATCTGCCTGGTCAGATTCTGTCCAGCTAGTAGGGAAGTTAAGGAGGCATCGTGTGTTTGCATATTTGATGTCTCTACCCAGGTAAGTTAGGCAGATCTGCTTCTTTTGTTTGTAACTATCCTACAAAATACGGGACTAGGTAGTTACTGAAGATAGACGTCATTTTCAGTCCTTCCCTTAGGGCCGCCCTCGATCCTCCCATCCGCTTCATATGTACTTCTTTCTTCCCGCTAATGATAACCATCCAGCGGTTAAAGTACGGATAGATGTCCTCCTCCTCGAGACCTCCAGTGGGTCATAGCGCTGGCGGCATGGCTAGGGGGCCAGCCCATCCGGCGAAGGTTTAATGACGGAGCATCTAGTCGATCCTTTACTAAAACTGAGAGTTAACAAAATAACCAACATACCATACTAGGAAATAAATTCATGCATTATTGTTGAACATGGATGGAGGAAACAGCTTTTCGACTAGTTTTAGAGCATTATTTTACACATTTGGTACTTTTTTGAAGGGTTTGACTGTGAGGCAGTTTAGCAACACATTTTTGGTATCATTGCAGCCTCTTTTAGGTCACCAAAATATCCCATGCAACTGTTTGTGTAGCTGAACAATTAATTGTCTTAAAGTTATAAGAAAAACGCAATCTCAGCCCTTTAGAATGCCTTTTTATAAGTCGTTTCTCCTCTTTATGTTATAATTCTACCTGATGAAAATGCTATGTCCAAATGTGTGAACCCCGTGTGAAAAGGTCCACAACAATTGCTATTCAAATCAAGTCCTCTTCTTCTTTTCATAAAAAAAGAATCCCCTTATTGTCTCATGTTTTGATTTTTGTGCTTTTCTTTTGTAAAAGGGGAGAAACTAGATACCTCTAAGGGATGTGGAACTTCGGCTTATTTGTACTGTTCCACTCCGGTGGGAGCGCATATGACAAAACTTTTCATCAAATTTTGGATAAAAAAGGTAAAAAATTAAGAGCTCGTAGTCATTATAGCTCTTTAGATAAAATTTTATTTTTTTCCACTGCAAGTACATTATTTTAAAGTTTTGGCTTTTGATTGATCTTTTATTTTCTTTCTTCTTTTTTTAGGGAAACGCTAATGTTTTTGCACCAAATTTTCGTACAAGGATTGAGGCGAAAAATGGAGAACTGGCCAACTCTCAAATTGGGTAGGTCATATCTTTATGCCATTTTTTTGCAAAACTTCCTCCCCACCTTATTTCAATTACTTGTGATTGCACAAAATTTTATAAAGCGTCTGGTGTCGGTTACCACCTAAGCATTGTCGGACAAATAAACTCCTTATGGATGCGTTAAACCGTTGATGAGCGGTCTTATTACTTTTCCAGAGATTAAAGAGTAATTTTGCCCCAAACTGTTTGTGGAGTTTCGACTTGCAAAAGTTGTAATGAGGCAATTCCCTGTGTCAAAGGTGCCCCCCTTCCGGCGTGGAGGGTTCTCCAATGCGCCGTAGCCATGGGAGGAAGCCATTATTTTAGGCGAGCGTACAACGTGCAGGAAATAAACAGCCTGAATGGCTAAAAGAACATTAAATTTCAATATCATATAGTCACACAGACACTATTAACAGAAATTATTTCTTCCAAGTGAGAGTGTTGTTATTTTATTTGTCTCATCCAGTCGAATATAGGGTTTACCAAACGGTGTTGATTCCGTCCACGTTTTTAGTAACCAGGCAGTTTGTCTGCGTGATTAACTGTGGAATGGCTGTTAGGCTGTTACTAACCCGAACTCTACTATACATTAGTGAGTAGTATGTGCCCTCTTACCACTTGCTACGATTTCGGGGAAGATTTAAGGCGCTACAGCATCGACTACAAATACTTGTTATATGCCATTCAATAAATAATTTTTATTGTCATTCCTCTAGGCGATTTGAACACCTTGAATAATTTTTATAAAACGCCCCGAGGTTGAGGAGACAGGTGAGACGCAGCGACTTTGGCGTTCCTTTTTTGTCAACTCAAAAGAAACGGCTGACGAAATTAAAGGTGCCTTCTAAGTAGATTGTGCAAATAAATGTAAGCTGGTAGTACCAAATTCTAGGAAGAAAGTTATGTCATCTTGGCTTTGGGTAAATCTTCTCGTGATGCAGTAGATCTTGAGGATATTTTCCCAAAGGTCTAAGTAAAATGGCTCCCTTTAAGTGCACAAATCCGCTGACATTTTATTCCAATCAAATCTGCATTGCCACGCTGAAGAGGAGGAAGTAAACGAAGACTTAAACAGGCTTTGTATTTGTTCGCCGAATTTCCTCCCTCACCACAGAGCAAATCCAAAATGAGACCTGCAGGAAGTCGCCTTTTTACACCAAAAGGCACGGACTTCCCTAGCAGCAAAAAGTGGAGGAAGGAGGAATGCTGTGTGACCTATTGGAGCAACGAAAAAGGCTTCGTCGGTTCCTGGAAGTGGATTAGTTGCTCCAAGTAGTAAGTAAGTCGCCTGAACAGTGCATGAAATTCCGTTGAAAAGAAAGAGGCACAAGAGTAGAATTTCTGCGATTTTCTGGAGGTTAATAATCGGGTCCAGTCCTAGACCCACCCATTTTCTGTCTCATTTGTATTTTGTATCTGTTATATATCAAGAAAGGTGACAAGCACCTCAGTTCCTGAGACCTGTGTTGTCTTGTCAAAGTATGACATCCTTCTAATTGATTGGCTAGGGCTGGGTGTTCTAGAACAGGATTTTTTTCCCCGCTTTCGATTTGGATCGTAACAATTGGACAATTTCGTCCCCATCCCACCAGACAATCACACACTGCGTGACCTGGAAGTGCGGAGTGAGGACGGGTGTGGCAGTTATGGATGCGCAAAGTTTGGGTCGTTTACTGAAAGAGCATTTGAATGGAAGGACAGTCTGACCTCACCGGTTAGTCTGCAAACGATTCACAGGATAGCACCAGGAAGTGTGAAGCGAATTGGGAGTTCTTGAAGGCTCATTTCACCTGTTGACCTACTTGAAATTCAGTTACTAACTTTCCACCGCAACCTTCCTATCTGATAGGAGTATGAATGAGTTATTTTCTCCCTCACAGTTTGTTGTGCCATAAAGTCATTCCTATCACGTCATTCACAGTCTGAGTTAAACAGTGGTAATGCAGAAGGGGGTTAACTTAAGCATAACACATCAATCTTTCGGCGATGCCTTTCTGGAAACAAGTCATTAAACTACTCCACTTTGTCTTGTTCTGCCCTCTTACCCTTCTCCTATCCTAGCTAACAGGAGTTAGAACGTGACAAGTGGAGAAACCCTAAATTTTATCCACCCACTTCATCTGACACCTTAACGTGAGGGTCCAGACCTTTCACTCACTCATCCGTTCCAACTGGAGCACACGCTTTACCATACGTCAATGAGGAAAAAACACTTACCTTTGAGATTTTGGCCTCGGATTAGGAAATATTGGTGTCACATATATGTGACGCAGATGGAGGACGAGGTAATGCTACTCTAACTCAGTATGAATTTCTACTCATTGCTCGATAAAAAAACACCCGGTCATTGCCAGAGGCCTGATCGATTGTAAAGGGCTTAAAGAGCGGATTTTCGTATTGCTTCACTTGCTAAAAAGAAAATGTGATAATGGGAGATTTTATTTGTCCACTTTCGTGTCGGAGGGGACCGTGATAAGGAGATTTGTTGTACCACGTCATCAACTCTACCTCATTCCAGGGCATCACATTAGTCTCTTCTCTCTGATTGTTGATTGCCTACCCAAATGTATGGGGACAAAAACTTCGAACAGCGGTCCTTAGCCCTTTGACCTTGAAGAGGGTAGCTGACGGATCAAGAATGCGAGCCTTTTGGCACACTGTCAATTGTCGAACAGCTTATGGCGTCACAGGAGTGGATATTTTTAATGGCTGATTTTTTTACCAGTTCAATAAAACTTTATTTTTGGGCATTTTACAAAAAGTCATCCTGATTAAAGTACTACAAATGTACGCATCGTGTGCATTTAAAGGGCAAATTTTCAAAGAATTGACAAATGGAAGGAGTGAAATCTCTTGTCATTGAATACAATTCATGGAATAACATTAAGAAATCTGACAAGTGAAATAAGATTTCGCCAAAATGGTGTCACTAAGGTGGAGGGCTTAATGGGCTTGCACGTTCGTGTTCATTTTAGAGTGGTGTGCCCGTAAATTTCAGGCTATTTATCACCATAATCCCAGAAAAAATAAATTAAAATATGCTTTCCTAAAACCGTAGATCACTAGAGACCCAGAAAATCTTATTATTTTATGGAGAAAATTTGGAGTCTCCGAAGTGCATGCTTCCTACTTGGTCGCTTAAAAAATGAGCAGTATTTTTTCATGGTTACATTTCCCCCATAACCGACCAAGTCTTCGGGGTTATTGACTAAACAGCGCAGTTTTACACAGTTTTAACTAATAATTCACAATTTTTGGACAGGTCTATCGCAAAACAAAAGTGGATAATCATATAAAAAACATCTGTTTGGCCTCCTGAGTTCCAACCTGGCCCTTTGAGGCTTAAACTGCGGTTGACCTTGCCTGGGGATTGGATTGTTAACAAGAGGTGTCTTTTTTGTGTAGCCTATTTATGCAGCAACATTTTAATGAGTTTAAATTCTCAGGGGAATAATTTGACGTCCTTGTCACTTCATCCGCTAGGTGTAGTCCACGACTAGTGGGTATACCTCTCACATTTACTAATCTACTTCATTTTGTAGTAGTTTCTTTATTTTATTTAGACAAATCCAGTTGTAATTGTTTGTTTGGAGAAACTCAAAATTTTAATCTTGAGCAGGGGGCATTTTACTGACATGTGACAGACCTAAGTCGACATGTGTCACTGCAGTTGGAGGCAGTGTGTTCCACGTTCTTAAGGAAAGTTATCTCTTCCCACGACTTTTGGTTTCTTTTTAATCAAGAAATATGACTCGGCCTTATCCTGCTTTCTCTTGGACTTTTGTCAGAACGTCAGAACATGTAAGATGTGCTAGTTACTGGTGCGATCATGACCCTTCATATGTGGGCACAATGAAACGGATCTGGGGTTGCAAAGTGAAAGTAGGTAAGGTCAAGGCCACCAAAGTGGTGGGTGAAACTCGCCTGAAAACTGCTGACTCACAGACAGGTGTGGTGGACCAAATATGGTCAGGTGTTTGGCCGACTTGGGGTACATTGTTGATGGGGTGTCAACACACAAATCACTCCACTAAGGCGGCGTCACGTGTAGGAGACGGCTCCATCATGAAAAATTAGGCGTCGACATAAATTGAAGCAAAGGGACATTAACAAGGGAAGTGAAAACTTTTCTTTTTTCCCAGCAAGAGCGATAATGAAAGGCATAAGTTTGTGACTACGTCAACCTAAAAAATTCTTACACCAATTGGCTCCATGTGCATTAACAACAGACGCTCCAACAATTTGTTGGCCTTCACCATCCGTCCGCTGAGTCATAATGTGAAATGACCTCTTTGTATTAACCTTTTCTGTCCTTTTATTCGTGAGTAGATGCACCCCCGAGAATGGGACTTAGGGAGGCATCCCTTCAGCCTCCGCTTCATCCTCCGCCTTTCCTCCAAGGTCTAAGTCATCTACTTACACCAGACAGGAAGGCGGTCTGTTGTGTAGGCTAAGTGGCATAAAAAGATGTGGCTGGGATCAGGTTTAATTTTTTGCTTTTGGTGCACTAAAAATGTCGGGGTCTTATCCCTAACCACGATGGCACTCCTCTTGACAAATTAATTATCCAGGAAATTTGTGTCGCTTTAAAACTTCGCCCTTAGATTTTAATTTTTCCGGACAAAACTTGGGTCAGGACCAATTTTGGGTTAATGAAACGTCTACATCCTAAAACCACATTGAAAAGGAATATACTTAAAACGTTTCTTAATTTGACCTCCTTCATTGAGGCGACTCATTTAGTTGTTTGCTTTCCGACGATTAATGAGTAATTAACAAACAAATTTGAGAAAATGATTTATGTTTTTGTTTGAGCACAAAATTTTGCCTTGTTTGCATTTTTGAAAAGAAAAAATTTTGAACTGCTGAACAAAGCGGTGGATTTTTGGCGCTAAAGTAGCGAAGAAAGTCCATACGTGGCGGAGGGGATATATCGTCGGTGCTAAATAAAAGTCGTCCCTCTGACACCATTTCATTAGCTCTGAATCGCGCATTCTCGGTACAGTTGAGTCGTCCACTTAGTGGGCAGAATTTTGAAGTGTTGCGCACTCCTCAGCAGTCACATAATTTCCGGCTGTCTGCTGCGCTCTCTTTTACAATTTATGGGAAACAATAAAAATAATTAAAAAAGGCTGTGCCTCACGGAGTCTGGAAGTCAAAAGGGTGCACTTATACAACATCTGTGGTTATGTTTGCACATGGTAACATTTAACAGGGAGTAATAACGGCAATAGATGCAGAGACGGTTTATCTGTCCAGCGGTTTACGGCCCCTAATTTTTTTGGATCGACTGCTTTAACTGTTTAAATAAAACTCTATCACCCTCCACTAATAGCAACTTGTCAGTGACATCCTCTTTTGATCATTTAATCCACAGGCGATCTCTTTGATATGTTGCTGCCAATGCTGGGCGTCTATCAGGAATACGTGCGCAATCATCACTATTCTCTTCAAGTCCTGGCCGAGTATAAATTGAAGGAGGAGTTCACCCGGGCGTTGAAGAGATGCGAGGAGAAATCGCAATGCGAGGGAAGATCGATTGAATCCTTCCTCACCACTCCTATGTATCAGGTACGCTGGTATTGTCTACTTAATTAGGGTATCAGTAGCTTGTCCTCTTTTGGCTGAGCTGTCTAAAATTCTATCAGCTAAATTTTTAGATATTTGGGGAGCAAATACTAGTTTTTATTTAACATAATAGGAGTAAGCTAAGACTAATGACTTTTCAAAATTTGGCTCTTTAAACGGCCTGAACTTTCCGATGATTGTCATCTCTGACACTGTGCTTAATCAAGATGCTGTTAATGCTATCGCAAACTAGTCGCAAAGTAATTTGAGAAAATAAAAAATAATCTAATTTTTCAGATACTTATTTGTGTATCTCTTTATTATTGAACTTCAATATGAAAACATCGCCTTACCACTTGGGTTCCGAGGGCTGCTCTTAAACGAGCCCACTTCATGCACCAGTCATTACTCCAATTAACATTTATCAAAAAGCTTGATCACATTATGAACCGCAAATCTACCTACATCTCATAAATTTATATTGTATGTCAGTTCCTCCATACCAGTTTATTCCACTTTGTGGCTGCTCGGCTATCATCATGGGGCTCATTTGGCCGCCGAACACATGGGATAGGTATCATCAAATCACCCAAATCGCTTATTTTTACGTAAGCGTTGTAGACAGCATAACGATGGATGTTATTTTAAGTTCCTTACTTTCACTGTTGCCACGTCTATTGATCAGTTTCTCTAAAAGGAAGATTATTCAAACTGTCAAACATAAAACCCGCTTTCTGCAAGTCCTCAGAGACTCAGCCATCCCCAAAGGGATCCGAGGCTCGATAATCGGCCAAGGCGATTTGGGTGGCGTGATTTATAGGTCAGGCTTACCCACCAACGCTACCGATGTGGCTGTCTAGGCCATTTTGGTGGACACAAAGAACCCATTTTAGTAGGAGAGTGCAAGTGAGACAGAAGGATCATGTTAATCAGTGAAAATAAGTCCCTGTGGCAAACTGAATTTTTTCGTGTTTTTATAAAGGTATCCTGCCTTAAGGTGTCGCTCGGCATTTGGACATGTCAAGTCAGGGTAACTGACTTCTTTCCCGTAAAGCCTATCATTATGATTTAGTGTAGTAATAGTCAGTCAGTGGTAAAGACCACCGCAAAATTAGTTCGTACACTGAATCAAGGAGGAGAAAATCGTTTGCCTTCACCATGAACACAAAATCATCTTCATCAGTGTGTAAAGAGTAAAAAAAGGTTTCATGGGTGGGTAGATGCTTCTGTCGACTTTTATTAAAAAAATATAGTCATTAATGTTAAACAATATTTGATTTTCTACTAAACTTTTGCATACAGCAAATTATATTAAAAAATGTCAGATGAGTCAATTTTGAAACAAAACGGCCTACTTAATGAAGTTAGTAGCACGTATTTCCCACTATTTTATCCATTATACAGATTCCGCGGTACCTTGTCACGTTGCACGAAATCCTTGCCCACACACCTCATGAACACGTCGATAGAACGAATTTGGAGTATGCGAAGAGAAAATTGGAGACCCTCTCTCAAGTAGGTTTACCACTTTAAAGTTTAATTCTGGAAGCATCCTCATTTCAATTAATTTTCTTTTGAAGGTAATTCATGATGAGGTCAGTGAAACGGAGAATATTCGCAAGAACCTCGCGATTGAACGTATGATCTCTGATGGGTGCGATATCCTTCTCGATGCAAATCAGGTTTTTGTGAGACAGGGTAGGCCTACACGTGACATACGGCTGAGACAGGAGTTTTTTGTTATCACAAACGATCTCTGGAAGAAAAAAGAGACACATTTTCTTTCTTTGTTTCATGAAAAAAATTGATTTTTAATCTTTAAAGCCTCGGTTATTATACAATTGCACTACCCGATGATAGTACTTGTGTTTATCAGGCAGTTTTGGATATATCTTTTTCCCTATAAGTCACTTTAAAAACAGGAAAATGCAACTTAATATTGCACCTCGTTATCATAAAAGGGGGAAATTGTTTGCTAGCTTTTGACTATCTAAATGTGATTTTTGTACACTGCTGCTTGATTATATGCGCATAGACGGTTTCGAGGTCTCGATGGCGTACTTGGTCAGTAGGACTTGGGGAGAGTGAGGTCTTTAATGCGGACAATCTATGGTCAACTGGGTGTCGTGATCCACGGTTGCGTCTGCTATGCTTGTCAGTGGCCGCTTTTCTCACTTTATTATGGTAGGGTATGCCAAGCACATATGGCGCTAGTCTCCATGTCGTATGGGCCATTGAGACCTTTCGAAGAGATCGCAAATAGGGGAGTGTTCTCGAAAATGTGCAAATTCAAATTCCAAAATCTTCACTTGAATAATGTTTTTCGGGGATTATAAATATTCCCGTGAATATTTCGTCTTTCAAACAGCATGTAATAAGAAGAAAGTAGAGAATGCACCACGTTGCACGCATTCACAATAGAGACCGGAATTTTGGCCAAAGTAGGTAAAGTATGTATTTTCAAACAGTTCTGCTCTTAGTCAGATTATAACGCCGACTCCTTAAAGGTAAGAGTGTCAACTTGCCATTGTGGTGCATTCAGAGTGCGCGCTACATGTATTTAACACCTGACTTGGTCCCAAATACGAAGATGCATGCTTTGCAACGTAATTATAAAGTGGCATGAGCAGATCATGGTAGAGTATCTTCTTCATGTAATTTGTATTTTACTGGTTCGCTTCAGGAACTCTAGCGCAGGTAACAATGAATAAGGCAACCTATCCTTGCTCCCGAATCACTCAGCTCAGTTCCTCATCATGTGAAAAGAAGGAGCGGTTGAGGCAGGTTTTTCTCTTCACAAATCATCTTCTTATCGCCACGAGGACTAATTCTGGGAGACTCAAGTTGGCCAAGGTGAACAACCGGTCAGATAATAGACTTAAAATAATTTTTCTCGTAATTTAGCACGCTTTAGTGCGCAAAAATTGTTTAATTTGACTAGTTTTTGGTATGTTAGTTTCCCAGGGGACTCGCGATTACATCTACTTAAAACAAATTGAGTAGCAAATGACTTCGACTGGTCAGCTTTGTATCCTGAAGTTAAAAAGTGCATCTTATCAAATTTGTTTCAAATTTAGCAAGGCTTTGTTTGCAAATTTTTCTACAAATGGTTTATTTAAAAGGAAATTTTCCTGGTTTACTACCTTTTTAAAAATACGTACATTTTATGAAGTTCTTTGCAAATAATCAAGCAAATTTTGTTACTTGCTAAATTTTATCTTTAAAAATCAAGGCTTAATTTTCTAATGTAAGAATTTTTTGATCTCTCACATTTTGTTGCACAAGAATTGGAGGCCATTTCTGTATCAGCAAGGTCTCTCCAATGTATTCTAACTCCTGATGACGGTAAGGTATTCGTGTGGTCTTGGCGCCAACTCGTTACAGTGATTTTTAAGCAGATAAGAAGATCCGAGCATTAATATTGTATGGTTATTTAATTGCATGGATTGCAAAGGGCGGTTGTTAATCGTTCCATTTGTAGTGTGCTTGGGCCACTCTAGCCATCATTTTTGGTTCACGAGTAGTCCAAATTGTCGGTTGAATCAGGCAATTTCGATTAAGACCTTATAGCAATGCAGAATATATGTTGCTCAGTTCCAAAGTGGCTTAAGTTTATTGAGGAAGTAACGTAGGGTCTAGAAGGGAGGATGGGGTGGGAGAAAGACTCATCTATTTAGATTTCCGAGAATTTCTTGTTGCCAGTGAAACGTTAGATCCCAAGTTATGGCACCACAAGGAATTGTCAGTGAGGATTGTTGTAAGTAATCCTTTGAATAAGATCTTTTGCATTTATATCAACGGAAAAGAAGGCAGAGAAGCTAAGAAACTAGATCAGCCAACTCAACTCAATCCGATACCACTTAAAAGTTTGCAAGGGAAGTTTCCTTAGAAACAACCACCTCTAGTCAGTCAGTCCTATTTTGGCAGGACGGTGCACGATCCCTTGTCTCAGTCTGCAAAACTTGCGCACGTGTTTGAGGTCTTCCTACCTCACCCCGATTCTCGCCCCCAAATAACCGGCCAAATTATGGTTATCACCTTTCTGGAGAGTTGGCGACCTTTTAGGCAAAAAAGGACAGACAGTTGATAAACAAAGGGGAAGGAGAGAAGTGCAGTTTGCATGGGCTGGAATTAATTGCTTCAATCCTTAGCCAAAACGCTTTGAAGGACTAGTTGGTCTTTAAGCTCCACGCTTTAACTATTCCAGCCACTAACGTACTTCTCTATTGCTCTGTCATCCTGTTGCCCTTATTTTCAACTTTTGCTAGACAAAGTTTCTTGGAGACTTGCACTGCTTTGTGACGGGGTGAAATTGGGTTTTGAAGTAAGTAGGCTCGTTCACACCGGCATCACATGACAGCGTAATGACCCGAAGAGGCAAAGTACCAATTGGGTGGCAAACACCTCTGTTCCACTTATAAAAGACTACATTTACTGGTTTCTGATAACAGTCAATTCTACATAGTGAATGAATTAAAAAGAAGAGCTCATAAAGGCCACTTGCATAAAGTTATGAAAGAGAGAACCCTTATCTCAGCTTTTTTCCTTTCTTTTTCGTAGAAGAACGGTAAAATTCCTCTACAGGGTTGCGCCCTCATCGAAGAAATGGGTTCCGACTTAAGTCAAGACGAAAGCGGTAAGTGGGATTGGATCATTCTTCGATCACTCCACTTACTTTTAAACAATCGCCTTGCTAATATGGATTAAAATATTCCTCCAAAGGTCATGGCTCTCCGCCGCCCAATGACACCCCTGAAAGCGGCCTGAGTCCCGTCTCAAGGACACAGAGTGTAAACAGCTTTGGAGGACAAGAGGATTTAATTCCAATGGAACCACAGCAACAACAGCCCACACCACCGTCACCGTCGTGGAATTTGATCCCCGCTAAATTGGCGCATGGATCGTTGATGCTGGCCGCACTGACACTGGGCACTACAGGAGGTGATTACGCAGGTAGACTCTTAAATGTCTTTCTGGTGAGGTAGTAATGCCCGAATACAGGTAAATAAATATCAAAAAGCTGTCGCGGTCGCATGACTTTAGATTAGGAAAGTGTGCTTTTCCTGCAAACCAGCCGAGAGACACAAGGTTGCTGTAAGGTGCTGCTTCTATCCAAGTTTTCTACCACTCAAAACATGCAACCCTGGCTGACTTTAGTCAACTTAATTTAGCCTCATTAACAATTTTTAAATGTTTGTTTTATTTCCTATGTAATTTTTGGGGTTAGGTGATTACCTGATGATCATTTGTTCGGTTGTTATGAATGGAATATGAAAGGTGAGGAAGAGAAGAAGCAGTTAGGCAGTGTCAACCCTCTTTCCTTCTTCCCACTCGTCCCGAAGTGCACATCTTCTACCCAGTGGATTTTTAGATAGGCTTCATTAGAATTTAATTCAAGGTGCCATTTCAGATGGATTACAACCTACTGAAAGCTTCAATAATTTATTAACGTAAGGAGTCAATTTTCATACTTTAAATTGAGTTTAAGGGTTTAGAAAATTAGCTCCTCCTCATTTCCATTTCGGAAGCCAAACAATCTGTTCTTATTCATTGGCATCTTGATTGTAATATAATTTTAAAACAGACAGGTCGTTATGATGCATAGGGCAGGGTTGTGCTTTTATACCTAACTTTTAGCCAAATTAACGCCCCCAAATTCCTTGTTACTCACACCAAATGAGTAGCACTTTTGTTTGCCCTCAAGGGAAGTTCAGGCGGGAGACACGCACGAGCTCCCTCAATCGCAAAAACGTTGCCGATGACTCAGGTGATGACAGTCCCACACAAATTGCCTCATTGATGTCCACCTCACCCTCAACCAGCACCGCTCCTTACCTCGGAAGCTACAGAAATCTCGCTTTTCAGATAACATGGCCAGGCAATGAGGAGGAAACCTGCAGTATTTGGCTAGTGGCCTCGAATTTGCAAGAAAAGGAGGCCTGGTGCTCAGATATAAGTCAGGTTGGAGGATTGAGAGAGCTGTCAGAGAAGAAAATTGTTCTTTATGTGCACAAAATTAGACCGTGGCATTTAAATACTGTTCATCGACCAATAGAGCGCTGATGTAGAAATTTGTGGCGTAGTACGAATTAAATCTGGACATTTAAAATTAGTCACTAAATCGTCAAAAATGAGTCAATGAAGTGTTGTCTTCGAGAATGCAGGATCTTTACTGGACATAAGTTTCGTCTTCTAATGAATTATCTCCCAAAGCTAGTTAATCAGACAATTTACAGTCATAATTACTGCCACGACGAGGTAAAGTGGTAAAAAAATACAAAAGTTGGTGGAATAAGAAATAGCACCTTTTAAATTTTAGTGCATTGAACAACTCCACTATAGTGACATGCTGAGCATTGCGCATTCGGAGGTGTCATCAATCTCCATGCCCTATTCAGTTCGGTGGGTTCAACATGACTTTCAACAGTAACCACGACTGAGCCTTTTTATTTAAATGTTTACCTTTTATTGCTTCTTTTATTTTCCCAGTTTGGATCCTGGACTATTCAAAGACTGTCCTGACATTAAGTACCGGTCAACGAGGAACTCGTGCAAAATGCCTCAAGTAACTACCCTTTTAAAATCACTTTATGTTAGTAAGCTTGGTTTGGAAAAACTCTATAGTTTTTAAGGCTACTTGAATATTTTTTTAAAAAAATTTCACATTAAGTTTAAGCGTCTTTCTGAAACTATTTTGAGGCTTATCCAACCTATGCGTCGCAAGAAATCATATTTAGATGCGAATAAGCGCCTGCAGTTTTGGATCGAAAAAACTGACAAATTAGGACAACCGGGGAAAGCCTTCTAACAAAGTAGAAAAATTGAATAGGCAAAGGTTTTAGAAGAAACGGTGTCACCGTAGCACTTTGGAGAGCCCTTAGAGTGCGGTGGGTGCGCGAGTATTTCCGGACCACTGGTGTAAACGAGGAGGGCGCCAGCTCCGCCCCATTTATGCAACTTTTAAATGACTTTGATGTAAAAGGCCTTGTGAGCACAGCCAGCGGAAATTCCTAGGAAGCACTGACTAGCTCAAAGAAACTTTTTAAGACATTGAATTGCAATTAATTATAGAATTGTGGAAGGAGATGCCAAAGAGATACCTCGAAAGGGACTTCCCGGACGCCCAGGTTGGAAAGTCTATCTAGGCATGGTTAACACGGGTCTAAAAAAAAGTGGTACTTTTCCAGGATGTAGGTTTAGAAATAAAGGCTTCCGTTCCAAATCGGCTTGTCTAAACCATTCCTGAATGGTTGGTTCTACTAGCACAATTCTTCCTAATGCCATGCAAAGTGTTGGAGACTTCTTTAGCCTAGGGGTCCAGCTAAACTCCATTCGTACAACAGACACGTCCAAAATCAGCAAAAGGAGTGACTTCTGAACGTTTCAGCGAGCGACTATTTCATTTCTCACCTTCAAATCCAATCTGCACGACTTAGAAGTAGGCAGGTGATAGCACGCTTGAACAAGATTTAATTCTTCCATACTGCTGTTACACTTGGAGCGGCAGTCAGCGATCGTCACCAAACCAACGCCCATTTAAATTTGTTTTAAAGCACTTTTCGAATGAAAGATGGGCTCAATTTCCCTTGTATTCTCAGTACACAGTAGAAGTAATCGTTGATCCATCATTCTGCCTTATGAAGGTTCGCCACGGCACCTTGGGCCGTCTCTTGGATCGCCTTTTGGATCCGCGGTTTCAGTCAATTGACTACTTGAACACTTTCCTTCTTACTTACCGTGTCTTCACCACTGGACTTACAATCATAGCTGTGCTTCGGTGTGTACTTCGAGACCCATCACTTCAACTGGCTTCAACAAAAATTGACCTCGATCTACTAGAGTCCATGCTGCAAGCGAGGTAAGTGAGAGGGGGGGAGAAAGGGAACCCTTATTTATATGTCAATTCTTGAAATTCTTAATTTGCAATTCATTCTTGATTCATTAAGGATTTTATTGTCAAACAACCAATCCAGTAGGCATTCCCACCTACCACGTGTCGTTGCTGGTTTCCAAATTGTACAGATTTAACCATCTCGAGACACGCGTCTATTCACCCATCCAGTTCATCCTTTCAGTCAAATTGCCTATCAACCCAGATGGTACCCACCTATTTCATCCAGTTACACTTCATTCTGTGGTTTAGTCGATTCTGAAGGGTACCTATTTTCGTTCCAACCACCTATGCATATTTCTAGTTAGCAAGCCGCTCATTAATCTTTTTTAATGCATCCGGATCCGGATTAATTGCCGTCCCTCCTCCTAATCAACCGCCATTTGACCATAAATGATCCATCAACAGCATTCCTTTCCGCATCTTCTGAGAAGAGTATCTGGATTACAGTTGTTGAAAACGCAACAAGATCTGCATCAACGAATGATGAATCGGTTTATGTATTCAAAATTATTCTATCAGGGTATTTAACAGTTTAGCCTTCTTCAATATGCCAGCTCGTCCCTGACTCACCCCTTCAACTTTTATCAACTCACCATCCATCCATCGTCATGAATGGGTGGATACACTTCCAATTCGCCGGTGGGTCACCCACCCTACTAAAACATAAAAAGTAGCCTTTTTTCAATTTGAAAATCGGAGCAGCTCATATATTATCAGTAGCCACTACTTGCTCATAAATTTTTAGACCCGGTGTTCGACGTGCCAGTCAGCAGCACAACGATAGCCTTACGTTTACCGGAATCAAGGGTGGGAGACGAGTGTCCACAGGCATGATCGATGCCACGAGACACCAAGTCTTCTTTCCACGTCGAAATCTGGCCACTGAAAAAGTTCTTGAGGAGGAGGAGCATGAGTGTGAGTTAAGATAACAGTTGGATTACAAAAAGAAATGTCTAGAAGTACTGCTTATTCTACCTCAACTTCAGCCGGCGATAGCGAAAGTGAGGAAGATATCGAAACGCGGAGGACTAAAAGTGCATCTGAGGCCGATAAATTGAGAAAATTTTTATTTTCTGAGGCCTCTAGGGGCAGTAGTAAGGAGGGAATCAAGAACATATCCCATGATATAGTGAAGGAGGCAGAGGAATTGGCTAGGAATGCGGTGAGTTTGGTGCTACCGTTGTTCATTCCTCAGTTTCCAGGCCGTTTTTTGTTTATTTGTGCATCAAAATAGGTGCCTTCTAACTCTTGTGTTCTATTAATCAGTCGAAAAATAAATGAATGTATGGCTGAAGTTGTATGCTTTCCAACTATAACGCCTTTGTTAGCGAAGAAAAAGTGGAAGGTCAAAGGAAGGGACAAATCGACGAGCAGGTAGGATCTGATCACAGTCTCGTCGTTCGTCTATCCGTCCATCCCGCCAGTTGTGGAGGCTGTGTACTACAGGCGCAGTGATCTGCTTGCACCATCATGAGAATATCAAAGATGAGGCAGAGACAAAGATTGAGTGGAAAATTAACACCACAGAGAGAAAACTGCCATCCCATTAGCAACTACGCGCTTCGTGTGTTACCAAGGGGCATTCTCACTTTATAAGTGGACCAAAAAATTATTTGGAGAGGAAATTATCTTTTCTTCAGATTTTAAATCCCAACATGTTAACTAATTTGGTACTTTATAATGTATGGTTAAGAATCCGAAGTTGCTTAAGTAGGTCTAACACATACTACTCATTTGTTTGTTTCAGTCCCTAGAAAACAGATTCGATCCACTGACAATTGAGGAAGAGAGCAGAGACAATTTAAAATTACTTGGGCACTCCAGAGAAATTGGTAATGGCAAAGAACGTGATGAAGAGAGTGAAGAAGGAGGAGAAACGGAGGAGGAGGGAGAGGCGAAAGGCGATGAAAAATACTCCTTTTCTAAAGCAGACAAATCGGCTCTTGTGGGGCTTAGCCCGATGCGTAGGTCTAACGATTCTGTGTGCTTCTCATCTCATCTGACAGGTGTGAACTTTTGGCTGACATATTATAAACTGCAAGTCTTTTCGGTGTGAAATTTCTAGATGCTGTAAAAATGAAGCAAGCAGAATCAGGAACGGGGAAGCAGGTCATCGCGAGTGAATTTATCTTTCCTATCACAAATGCTGGTTCACCACTGATGACCTTCTTTGGGAACAAGGTATGTTATACTATTGTGAATAGCGGTGGACTAGTTAAAGTTGACTCTTAAAAACTTGTTTTCACATTCTTAACCACTTAATCTACAAATTAATATATAAAGAGTGAAAATTGTGAACATCTTTACCGTTTAACTTCAAGATTTAACGGATTCTTTTACTGCCCTACTCTTGGGCTCAATGACTAATAAAGAAAGGATTTTTTACTCTACTGCCACTTTAGGAGAATCAAAGTGCTGTCGTGCCAGATCTCTCAATCATCAAGAGCCGTTCTGTTTCAACCTCTGCACCCAGTATGTCAGAAAACAAACAAGGAGGCGCATACTGCCTTTATGAAGCAAAAGTTTAACATCTCTTTAGTCTATTTTATTCCTTGTGTTCATGGCTCTAAATTGAAAGGCATTCGCGACTTAATCTACTCTTAATAGTTTTACTATTTTCAAAAAAAATATTTCTTTCCTGAATGCACATACCGCTGAAGGATTTAATGTGTTCTCGATTCACTTCCTTATCGCTTACAGCGTTAGTTGCATACCATAAAAACCTTGTTTTTCTCTATATGAATTAGGCTAGCAATTCCAGTTGTCTTTTAGATTATATCAGAAAAAAATTCAAACGCAGCACTTTTTCCTTCGATTTCATCCACCTTTCTTCCAGCTAAGATTATTAAAGGCCCGACAGTAAGTCTAGTCTCAATAGCCTTATCAATTACGATATCCAAACGAGTTTTTTATAAGATTGCTACTGATTACATTTAAGTAAAAAGTATTTCGTATTCATTCTCATGAGACCGAACCAGCTTAACCCGACAACAGAGCCGCGTGAGTTACACCTGTGGCACACCGACGTATCGTCGAGCACCAAGAGCCGGTGCTATCATCACTTCCGCGCGACTCTCTAGACGAAGGTGAACAAACAATTAATCAGTGTGCCTATGATTGGTCCTTTTTTGATATCAGCACATTTAAAGCTTAGTCCTTGAAAAGCAGACCCCCCTTATAAAAGACCTTTATCTCAATTTGGGGCACTTAGCCACTCGAAAGGAGGATATTTTGATGGTTTAAACGTAACAAATACCGTTATACTGTCAGCGACAACTCCAATCGTTGTGACCTCCTAAAACAACAGCTTAGCAATTACTTTTGTGGATCTTACGGTGGGAACAATGAAATTCAGTCATTTACAATCCCACTAGTTTCAAAGAATATTTGGACGATGTTTACAACTATCCATATAATGTATGAATGCTTCATAAATAGAGTACAAAATTAATTCGAGGGTGAGATGAAAGGGTTATAAACTATAAAAAGCTTTAAGTTACCTCGTTTTTATCACGTGCCTCTTTAAGGTCAAGCAACTGGGCCGCGGTGAAAGCCTTTGCCATAGCAACTGCAGCCAGCAGTTCGACACGCATGTCCCATCAAAGACGCATATCTGCTATCCACCGATCTCCAATGTCAACAGCAGCAATAACAGCAATAACAACATCTTCCATAACACCTACAACTGCCGTAGCTTCTACATCTCACTTTGGTGAAACACCACCAGTGACGACCATGGCATCCGTCGCAAATTGGATGACACCGAAGGAAGAATCCCCGTTTCTGCGATTAACGACATCGAGTGGAGAAGGAGGAAGAGAGGAGAAGGTGGCGAGCATGACAGTATTGAGGGTTTTGAACGTGGCACGGCATTGGATTACGAAGTATCCCGAGGTAGGTAGACGGAAATTTCATCTCCCAGAGTGGATGGATGGGTAGATGCAAAATTGGATGGATGTATACGGATGAATATGAAGTGGATAGATACGGGACAGAGGGGTGAAATGGACAAGTGGTTGAAAATTGAGTGGATTTCTTTTTGGTTAAAATAGGCTTCGAGTACTTCATTTTGTCGTAAATAGCCAGACGGGCTAAAATCAAGGGTAAAAACAAGGTATTTTGCTGAATTGACTAATCGCTTGATATCTCTTCGAATATCAACCATCAGACTTCAACCATTCTCTCTGATTTTAAAGGCTGCCTTATATTTTATCTTCATATCCAGGATTTTGACGGCAATGCTCAACTCAAGTCCAAAATGCAGGTTCTGCTGGAGGAATTACTTCGTAATCCTCGCCTAAACGTTTCAAATCGCAAGGTAGCTTTCCAGCTTTCCAGAGAGATGCTCAACGACCAGTTAGTCGAATCGCATGTCGATCTAGATCTCCTCATGACCCCATCACAGGCAAGTTTACCTTTGAATCGACCTTTTCGATTAATTTTCACCCACCCTTGTTTTAACCAATACCGAAGCAGATGTGTTCAACTCCCCTTCTTTGATTCTTTAGGCATGAGAAAACAAGTAAGGATTAAACACTTTAATGATTACTCAAGAGTTCATACAAATGGAAGGGTTTTACGATAAATCACTGCATTCTTTTCTTGCTTGACCTTTAGAAGATCGTTCGGCAGATCAACCAATCAAATAAATCTGATGCTTCACAATCGAAAAATGCAAAAAAAACACTAAGTATCGCGGTTTCCTACCCTTTTATTCATTGAAAAATTTCCTAAGAACTTGTTTATTAGCTGATGTAAAAACAGCTTTTATAGAGGCTGGTTTCCTACTGAAATCCGTCTACGTATCTTCTAGCCAATAGGAATAAAGAACTACCGTCAACACTTGCAACAACCTTCTGCTTCCGTCTAAGTTTATCATAGTATTTTTCTGTCAACGAAGGTATAGAAAAATAGAAAATACAGACTTTTCTTGCAATAAGTGAACAATTTTTTGTTGTTTTATAAAGGTTCCATCAAAGGAGAACTTCGATAAAATACCAGCATTAGATATTGCGGAGGAGTTAACCTACCTCGATTTCCACATTTTTCGCTCAATTAAAACGCAGTAAGTCCTTATTACCTATCCGACGAAGTGGGCCTCAATTGTAGCTGACCATAGCTTTTCCATGTTGCAGAGAACTACTGAACCAGGTATGGATGAAAGATGGAAAGGAGACCAAGGCGCCCCACGTGATGCTGGTGACAAAACGCTTTAATGAAGTCAGTAAACTGGTTGTTTCGGAAATTATTTCCCGCTCAGAAATTCCAGATCGTGCAGCCTGTATTGAAAAGTGGATTGCAATTGCTGACATCTGTCGATGTTTGCAGAATTACAATGGGGTGTTACAAATTTGTGCAGCCTTGGAAAACAGTTCTGTTCACCGCCTGAAGGCAACCTGGGAGGTGGTTGCTAAACAGTCTAAGCAGTCGTTTGAAAAACTCCTCACTTTGGTGGCTGCAACCGCGAGGTTTAAGAATTTGCGTGAACTGCTCCATCGGTATGTTGACAAATACCATCAGAGGGTGAAAGTTGTGTCCGCCGGCTCTGAACCAGTAGTTTTTTTTTCAGCTGCGACCCACCATGCATACCGTATCTGGGCATGTATCTGACGGATCTCTCCTTCATTGGAGAGGGCGCATTGGATATTACTGAGCACGGCCTGATAAATTTCTGCAAAATGAGAATGGTAGTCCTGATTTTCAAAGTCACAGTAGCTTTCTAGCTGGCTCATGTACTCATGGAGATAAGGAGGTATACCCAAACACCCTACATGATTGAACTTAGGCAAGAGGTGGGTTATAATTTTGAGCTAATGGCAATTTTTTAGGTCGTGGACTACTTACTAGATCCAACTCGATTACTAAGCGATGACCAAACATACGAGGCGTCGTTGAGCATTGAGCCGAGACGACCTTTCACTACCGTATGTCAAGCAGAAGGCGAAAATAATGAAACCGGAGATACAACACCTTTTGGAGGAGACGGGAACAAGTAAACGTGAAGGATTTATCAGCGTACTCGGAACCCACAAAGCTCTGCCAATAAAATAGGGAGGCAAAACAAACGAGAGTGATTATTTATTAGAAATATACGTACTGTTATGTGTATCATCCATGTTTTTGTTTTGTTAGGGAGGGATTATTTCGAATTATTTGAGTTAGTAATGAGCATATTTGATAAGTGATTTTACAGCAATCTATAGAAAAAAAGGCAGATCTGTTACATTAAGAAGTGACGAAAGAAGCAAAACTGATAAATTTAGTGCACCGCAGCTGGTCTTTCCTGAAGTCGTAAGAATTCTCGGTAGTGTGGGCAGGAATGCATTGCTGAAGTACAGAGGCTGCTAATGTGGGGCGCAGGCACAGCCTCCAAGCAAAAGTCTAGCTGCGACGATTCAAGTGCTGTGTAGTCAAACACAGAGTTAAACAAACTACGGAGACATCACATCAGTTATTAAGGTAGGTGAATTCAGGACGGTGAGGATTTGTCCAGATGTTTACACGCCATGCCCTACTTCTGCATGTCTTCTTTGGCGTCATAATAAGCCTCGACAACATGCCGTAAATTGCCTTACTAACGTACGAACTCTGAACTGTATCAAGAAAGGGAATACTTGCCGGTCCCTTGTAATTTAAAGCCGTATATTTCAACTGACGAAAGGAAGTAAAAGATGAGTATATTACAGAGGACGAGCATTTAAACACACAATTAGTAGGTATTAAATAAGTAAAACGCGGAATATGATACCGTAGCTTTCCGAGACTTTTCTGAAGACGAAAGAGGACATAATAGTCGGGTAGAATGTATATATTCAGCGCAGAGAAGGTATTTGGGCTGCTGGCATGGTCCGAAGGTCAGCCCACCTGGCGTAGTACAAAAAGGCTAATTCAAAAGTGGTGCCTCGCTAATACCGAGGGGCAAACAACTATCGTATTACATAGCCGCCTTCTCTTCTGAGTGTCGCCCCTGGCACTCCCGCAGGTCAACCTACCACATCAGCCATCAAGACGTAGACGGTGCTTCAAGGAAATACCTACGAGGCGGCCGTGCCAGTCATCAAATTGGTGTGCAACCGAGGAGATACTTGACCGCATTGTCACTGATCCCTCTTGCAATTTAACTGGATCTGGAGTTTCGTTCGGTTTAAAAACTTGATTCAGGAACGGAGAATTGTGCCAGCCATCATGCGTGTCCATAGATAGACGTAGGCACACTGGCCTGAAGGCATATTCATATAAGGAAAGACAGGATTTAGCATAGGTCCATGGAGGAAGGGTTTCGCGTCTGTTCCTCCCTTCCGCGCTGTTTCCACTTTGGAGCTGCCCGGGCTCCATTCAGCTAGTAAGGAAATGGAGGATGAGTCGCGAATTCACATTAGCAACAGCTTTATGCAGGCGTAGCAGGGGAAGTCTGTAACAAAACTTCCAGATGGTTCACAGCTAGTGCCGCTTCAGTTGTTAGTGGCTTTCCTGCAGAACACGGGACTGGAATGGATGCCAAAGGTAGACGTCTTTTTAAACCCTTTTGTTTGAGGTCATCGCCATTCACCCACCCGTAGCACATGTACTTCGTCGGCTCCGTTATGGTTTATCACGCAGTAGTAAAAATCAGGGTAGATGCCCTTTAGGATCGGGTTCGCTTTCCGCCGCCATTAATGCAGCGTCCCTAGACTTTCCTGAAGACAAAGGAAGACAATACTCGGGTGGAATATATATATATGTTCAGCACAGAGAAGGAATTTGGACTGCTGGCATGGACTGAAGGCTGGCCCGCCCGGCGTGAAACAAGAAGGCCAATTCAAAAGTGTTTCGTCGCCAATACCGAGAAATAAACAATCATCGTATTGCAATACACTATTCTAAAATAACTTCTTACTGTTTGCCTAAAAACTCTAGTGTGTAAAGAAAATTGCAGTTGCATTAATGTTTGCTTTGTCAGAATTGTGTTTAATTACGCTTTTAATTATAAATAATAGTCAAATAAATTTTTTTCAGATTACTGCGCTATTAAAAGCGCCACTTTGCAAAAATGAACCACTGCAAAATTTTGCTTTATAAGCTTTGAAAACTTTTAACTACCAAAGTAAACTTCAAATTTTAAATGTAAATTTAGTTTTCATGATAATGCTGATGGTGCGACAAACAGTATATTAGTATTTTAACCTCTTGGACATTTGTTGCCACTCTAGCCTCACTGATGGCTTTTGTTCCCGTGTGGTTCGTTATACTCCTATCAGGTCTTGCACTTGCTGAAGATCAGTGTTCTCTTCTTTGTGCCTCTGGAGTCTGCTGCAATGGTGCGAATGGGTATTTGCAATGTTGTCCAGCTTCCGATGTGAGTTTTAGCTTGAATTTCTAATCATATTTCATAGGGCATCTGCTGCGAATCGGGCACTTCTTGCTGTCCGCGAGGCACCGTTTGCGACTCCGATGGTTATTGCACAAGGATCCAGTCCGGATTCTTTGCCTTCATGAACTTTTTCGCTCCACCCCCACCTCTATCTCAGGTAATTATTTTGGGAGTTCATGCGTGGAGTTCTTTAGATTCCTACTGAAAACCCGCCTACAACACCGGCGACAAAAACTGAAGCCAGTTTTGAATCGTGTCCTGCGACTTGTGGAGATCTCTGCTGTCCTTTCGAAGGTGTAAGTTGTGCAGTGTATTATGGAAAATTCAACCCTCTAGGGCGTCTGCTGTAACGACGGCGAGCATTGCTGTCCGCCTGGTTATGAATGCGACATTTTAACAAAGTCATGTCGCCTTTCTCCCAAAGACGAGTTATCCTCGATCTCAGATAGTCGAGTATGCCCTCTGGTAGACTCGGGATGTCGCAACACTGATACCTGCTGCGTTATGTTCGATGGTACTATGGGGTGTTGTCCTTACGAGGAGGTGGGTTATTTTTTGGATTTACATTGTATTCGTACTTAGAGTCGGGTCCCTAAATTTTCCAGAAGGCTTGTTATTCATTTGTTGTTTTTGACATGCTGTTACTTCCGATAGGAAGTCACACGCAGCCTATAGATGTTTGTTAACCTTTACCATCGGAATCTTTATTTCTCACAGAATTTGCTGCATAAACTGTTGTTATGGTGTTTTTTGTGTTTCTTTTTAAAGTAAATAAAGTTTCTTGCCATTTAGTAGCCATATAAACGGTTGTTTTTACCGATAAGATATCCAATTAAAAGTGGTATATATGTCCTCCAGCTAGTCAGTGTATGGACGTATCTTTTGACTGGCTTTTTTAAGATTAGTCGTGGGAGTTCATTGACAAGTATTCGTTTGTATTGTTTTTTACCATTTGGAAGCCCAGGGTTACCTCTGATTGATCTTAATTACCTTCATTTAGTGGTAGTTCATGAATTCTCAAGGGACTACTTTGATTTATTTTAGGCCTTTTTGTGCTAAAATGAGTTTAACCTTGAATAATTGATCTGCAAGTAGCCATTTCATGTGAACTCAAAGTTCACAAGTAAAAGGTGGGTATGTAGGGTTATGTTTTTGCATTTTCTCTCACTCGTTACAGTTTCTGTTACACCATTAGGTCAGTGATCGCTAGAGTACTATTTTTTCTTGACAAGTGACTATTTCATAACAAGATATCTGTTCAAGCGACCCGTTTGAAATTCTAATAATTGCTTGAGGATTCTAAGACTATTTGAAGTGAATATTCTCGGTAACATAACATCTCAACCTCACTCTTCGCTAAAATAGGTCATTCCCTATTTTTTGACCTCATAAGGCCTCATTAGACACCACAGTGTTCTTTTTTCACCACTTTTGCTATCCGCGTTTTCGTGTATAAACAAGGTAACTTGCCACGTTAACGTTGCTAGTTCGCGTCCTTGTAAGCAATTCATGTTATAAAAGTAATATACTTTGGTTTAAATCGTGACAATTTTCTTCGTTTTCTAATTACTGATTGCTTTTCACCGATTATCCGCAATATCACTTTCGTTCAAATGCCATCATCCTTTCAGGCAGATTGCTGCGCAGACGGTTATCACTGTTGTCCGAGAGGTACACACTGCACCAGTGACTCGGATGGATGCGTGCCCAGATCGGGTGCTTGGGTGAATCCCTTCGAGCCCTCCAATTATTTAATCGGTCGAAAGCGTGTCAAGTGTTCGGATGGGAAGTCTGCCTGTCACAAAGGCTCCACCTGTTGCAAGACTGTGGGATCTGGCGCCCCCTTTGCGTGCTGTCCATTTGAGAATGTAGGTTTATGTCTCTTTTCGGATTGTCGTTGTGCGCTTAGACACTTCATGTGACTTTCAATTTTGGAATATAAGGAATTCGAATTCTTTCATACCTGTTTGCAAACTGAAACATGCTAGCAAATTTAACCTATTTGACAGCGATAGATTGCTTGGCTTGATGTCTATTGGTCTACCAGCTTCTATTGGAGAAGTCTGAGGGATAAGAGGTCTTGAGTTTTGAATGGATGGGTAGCTTTATGAATTAATAAACCGGACTCTGACGAGTAGATTAGGCACTGGTCCACAGGTGGATGGATCAAGCATGAAGGCATAGATGAAAGATAGTTGGGTAGATTCCTAGTTGTTTAGATGACTTGATATTCAAAGTTAGCTTAGGGGAGGGGAAATACGTCTCACGAGTACGATAGCGACATCAGTTAGTGTAATATCCTCCAGCCAAATCGTCTTGAGATACTTCCTCCTTTCAGGCCGTTTGTTGCAACGATGGAGAGCACTGCTGTCCTCAGGGCTACCTCTGCGACTCTAGGAACGGTGGTTCTTGCGTCTCACTATCCACCATTCCGATCATCCCCGTTGTCTCGGGGGAGGCTTCGAAACACCCCGTAGAAGAAACTGTGATGTGTGATGATAGCAGTTACTGTGAGGGTCCCAATGCCACCTGCTGCCAGTTGGCCGACGATTCTTGGGGCTGTTGTCCGTTTTTGGATGTGAGTTTATTTGGGAGACTTCTCCTGAAGCCTATGATCAAAGCGGAGAGATGACTGGCTTCATCGTATTGGGATGGTTCCCTCAATTAAGCCTCATTTCACCCAACTGATATTAACGCCCACTAGATTTTTTATAGAATCTTCCTTTAACAGTCAGTCGGTGGGATGTAGCGCATATCCGATTGTCAGATTTTATTACCACGGCCCTTTCTGGAATCGTGCTTATCCACCATAGGAGCCTAGTTATCAACCCATCTTGGAATGTTCAATTCGCGTAATTTACTGGTTTGACTCCAAGAGTTGTGGAGATCCTGATTTGCTCCCTTTAGTTGACAACTCGAATCCGCTATCATAAGTTAGTTGGTCTGATGGATGGCTCGGTGCTCTCCAGTTGCACGGAGTCGTAGAGGCTAAGTGGCTGAATCGACAGTAGGGGACGAGTAACGTTTGATGGATGCATGAACAAGGTGGACGGTCACATGACTAGGTGGATGAATGAGCGAATAGGCTGTGGAATGAATGACGTGGTTCATCAAGGAATTGCTGGGTTTTAGTAGGTTAAATGGACGGTTTTTAGTTGGGACGGAAAGATGGCTGAATCGCTGGTAAAAGTGTTGTTGAAGTGTTTATTTTCATCACGAATCCCATTGCTAGTATTTCATTCGCCTCCTAGACCACTTGTTGCTTAGATCGTGAGCACTGCTGTCGCAACGGTTACTCGTGTGCCTTCAATCAATGCCTCAAATCTGACTCGAGTGGTGACCTTTTAACACCTTGGAAGTTCAAAAAAGCAGCAAAGTTTGTCACTTTCGACAGTATCGTTTGCAAAGACGGCGTAACTATATGTCCGAGCAATACGACCTGCTGTCCGATTGATGACAACTTTTATGGGTGCTGTCTGTGGCCTAATGTGAGTCTACTGAACTGGCCTCTTTCAGTATTATGGCGATACATTGAGTGTGATTCGAAGACGCTGTAAGGTGTGCATGAATCCAGAATTGGCCTGATTAGTGGCGTACACAGAAGAGCTGGAAGATTGGAAAATTTCGCGCGATTATTATATTAAATGAGAGTTCTTCTCCTCGGAAGCTTTCTCCTTTGTGTTCCTTGTGGGAACTCGTCTTCTGCTACTTTGGCTGTTGCAGCAGTTAAAGTTTGACATCTTATATGTCCTGCATGAGGCAGAAGCGAAGATCATAGGTCGATTTGTCGTGGATTCCTCAGGATAAGCTGGATGATTTTCGACAGCTAGCGCTTTGAATGACTTGGAAATGCTGATCTTAAAGGCAAAAGTATTCGATGGGAGTTCCTGAGACCCACGTTCTCTATTCGTCCCATCGATTCACTTCGTTGTCACCTCGGTTCTGCCTAGGCAGAAGCCTTCAGAACTTTTATCTGGGGCTATAGACGCCCCCATGAAAGATGTTTAAAACTGCTAATGGGTGGTACCTTTTGCTCTCGAGAAGCTTCTGCGCCCTTGAAACCGAGTTATGCTTGGTTGATAAATCCGACTTACAGCCTTCAGGTTCAAAAGACGTTTGATGACATGAAAGATGGCAGAGAGCACACTAAAGACTACCGCACCGACAGTCTGCACCATCCTACAATTCATTGCAGCAGGTTCTACCGACGACCGTACCAACTTTTTCGGTTAATTGATCCTGCTATAAACTTACCTTTTATGGGGCATTTTGATTTGTTCATTTAATTTGCCTTTGGGGGTCCATGTGGCTTCGATAGTCCCGTCGCGTCTCCGCATATTCAACCCTCCACAATGGCCGCCTTCCTTCCACGTTGAGATGATCATGTCAAGATTCTTGTTATTGTGATCTGAGTTTGCTTGGAAATATGGTCCGGTACTACTTTTATGCTTATTTAGCTTCTCGTCTTTTCCTTCTTCAGGCCGTGTGTTGTAAGGACCGTAAGCATTGCTGTCCATCCTCGTATGAATGCGACACCACCTACAATGCCTGCGTCCGCAGTGATGATGCCTCATCTACCATCCGGGCGAGCTCAGAAATCCTACCAGCTCTGACGAGCAAGTATCTTGGGGCCTGCTTTCCTAAAGCAACGCCTTGTTCCGGCAATGGGAAGACCGGTTGCTGTCCCCTCGAAAATGTACGTTAATTTGACGTTCTTCCAATTCTTTGAGTGGCTCTGCTACAAAAGTTAGAAGTTAAGAGCCGAAGGCTAGATGATGCTTTGCAAGAACCGATACAAATTAACTTGGACGGAAAGTTAGGATTAATGAATGTCCTTGTTTGAATCCCCTTCTTTGAAGTCACCGTTTCAAATCGAGTTCTTTAACTTTGTAGGCGTTTGTATCTAAAGACTTGATACCTTGTGAGCTGGGCCCTAGTATATTTAAACATATAATGGGACGGTTTCGAGAGTTATAGCAATTTTCCCCTCCCGATTTGGAAATCGTGGACTTTGGCGTCTACGCCTTGAAATTAGATAAGATCCACTGCATTTGAGGTGTCTTGCACTAAATAGGATCTTTTGAATAAGCTTCGGTACCAATTTCTGCAAAATTTTTGGCCCCAAAACCACTAATGGCGAGGTTGATATTTCATCAAAGACCTGAATGCTCTTGATGCGGCTCAGAATTTTGTGTGATCTAGAATTCGGAAGGGCATGCCTAAAGACGTAATGCTTGCAGTGTCGACCCTAGAAATTCCATTCTGCAAAAGGCGAAGCAGGTGTTTATAAGTTGCCATCACGGTGAGAAGTTCCCGACATCAGTGATGCGTCGCTTGGATTTACGTTAAATGAAGTGTTCAGGAAGATTTTCCGCTCCACAACGCCAACATTTATTTCCTCGTTGTGAGATGGTCTTTTAATCTTTAGCATCTTAGCCGGCGCTGGTAAGGAGGATTGCTTTTTGAAGTCCAACTGAATCCATTCCTGCACGAGTCATTGCCATGGAACTTCATCAAAGTAGGAGGAAAATCCGTTTCGGTTCAGTCACCTTCAACATTTGTTGCTCAAGTTGTTGATGTGATGCACTTAGTGATGAAATTTGGAAGTGGACATCGTTAGACTGACCAGGCCCACCTAATCCGTTGCGGTGTCATCAGCACTGCTTCTCAACTTCGATGATGTTTGATTTGACTTCCATAGAATCTGTCCTAGAAGGTGCGTTTGTGAGTACTTTAAGGGCATTTATCTGAACCGTTGCAGGATTACGGTTTGGAAGCCAGATTGAGAGTAAAATCTGACTACTCTCTAACTGTCCATCTAGTCGGTGGACCTGGTGATTCAATGAATGGTTCAACTGCCAACCCGGTCATTCGTCTCCAGTCAATCAACCCATCCGGTTGGTTTTTTGACTCGTCGATAGTAGTGTCTGTTCAATTATGGAGGTTGCCCGACTTCCACCATTCGTCAATGAGCCTCTAGTATTGGAACTTTAGCTGGAATTAATCTAGACACACCTCTTCAACTATTATCCCTGCCTTGTGATCAATCAGTTCCACGCCCTCTTCTCTCACTTCTCATGTTCGTGAATAGACGGCTGAGCGTCTAGGGTGCCGCGTATTCATCACACTAATGCTACAACGTTTCAAACCACTCATGGGAGACTCGAGATTATTTTCTACTCCTAGCTTAGGTATTGAATGCTTTTCTTTCCCCCTTTCCTCCGCTTTAGGCCGTCTGCTGCTCGGACGGGTTGCATTGCTGTCCGAAGGACTCCGTCTGTACCGCCAGTGGTTGGTGTTTGATGGAGGGTGATAAAAGCTTGACAGACGGTTTCCTTCGAGCGCCGCGTCTCCTACCGAGGATTTTTGAAGCAGTTGGTTGATTAGTAAAGTTTCTACCCTTTCTGTGACCTGACTCAACAAACAAAACTTTTCCTCTCTGCCCATTTTGCTGTGTCCAGACCAACCATTCATCTACATTGTTACTGTTCACTGACGCTTGAGACATTGCGAGGTGTCCACTTCATACATCTGCAGAACCTAACGTTGCTCTTTTCAGACATTCCATCGTCTACAATATTTCCGCTCTTCTCCTGTTGTGGAGGCAAAATCGTTTGATTCGCTTAACTTCATCTGCAATCATTTGTGTTTCTTTTGTGCGAATTTGTCATTCATTCTTTGTGTGTTTTGTGTTTGGTCTTCATTAACCGGGTTGTATGTTTAATTTTTGAGCAATTTTGATAAATGTGTGCTGACACATCCTGAAGGCGCACTGAAGCCGCATTGAAACCGGGAATTCCAATTTTGTTGGCGATTGGCAGGATCGCCTTAATCTTACGTTTGAAGTGGTGGTGGGTGGAGGCTTCCTTTTTGCAGCGATTGTGGTACACACGCTTCACTCGGTTCTTGTCTACGTCTGTTTTTCACATGTGGGGAAATATCTCCGATGTTCCGAGTTGTTACCAACTACTCTCGTTGTGCCTGCACTTGGAACCTTTCAGGCACCGAACCGGGTAATCAATGAGTCGGACGTCGATGCAGGCGGATGTTTACCGACGGCGTGGAGGGTGGAGACGCCGCAAGCGCGTACACGCCTGATGGGTGGCCCACGGGGTCAGCTTGTGCCGCGCGGTCGCTTCACCCACACGTAGCCATAGCAACCAATTGACCTTGGCATTAACAAATCAGGGGCGAATTTATAGAATGTTGAGGAACCAGTGGTGATGATGGAAAGGTCTAGAAAATCAAAATAGGGGCATTTTCTGGGGTTGAAGCCGCCTCCAAAACGTAGAATTCCACGAAATTTCCTTCCACTTCCTTATGGCCTAATTAGGTTCCACTTATAAGTGGTGGGAAGGTGTTCTACCGTTTAATTCAAATAGAAATACCCTCAGTCTATTTCGACACTAACGTTTTTCCTTTTTCAGTGTCTTTTCGAAAGAAACAATCTTAAATGGCTTGGTATACTTGCCATTAACTTTCTATTGCAAATTTAAACCACCACTTTCTGAGTCAGTCATGTTGGATTTTCTTTCTTGCAAAAAAATGTATCGGTAAGTATTTTACTATCTGGACAATCTTTATGGTGATTTAATATTCTGTTGACTATGCGGGCCCTTCACTCTCTGCTAGTTGTACCCCACTCCGCGGTTCAACCTTTGGGTCATGCTGGTGGCCTTTTGGATCTTCTGTACCTTAGCAACACGTTCTTCGACGCAACTTGAGCTTATCACGACCTTGACAAAGGCTCGGGATTCCATGTTCTCATCCGTTAAAAGCATAAATTTTTTTGATCTGTCGTTAGTTTTGGGTCTTTTGATGTTATAATCAATCCTATAAACGCGTTCTGAAGGATGAATAATTCATAAAGCCTACCAGAAGGACAGTCTTGCGTTGGCTAGGAGGATCTCTGGCGAAAATCGGCCACCACAGCCTTGATGCTGTAGTCTTTTAAATGGTGTCTAGTCTAAAACTTCCGGTGTGGTCCGTTCAAATACCAGTCAGAAAACACCAAGAAATCATTTGTTTTCGTTCTATGAGAACATTTTAAAGCTGATTTATCGTTTCAAACTCAATCACCCCTCTTCTGGCACATTAGTCGGCGCGTTCTTTTATTTCAACCCCACCAAGAACATGATTCACGTGCACGTGGCCTTGTGCCAAACATTTTATGAAAAATAAGTTGTGTAAGCTGTCTGTGCATAAAAAAAAGTAAGCATGAAATAGAACGATTAGTGGGGATGACTAACGTACACAGCGAGTGATATCTACCAGTCAGGACTCACTCTAGAAATGTGCTTTAGTTACGGGACTCTCATGATTTTCATCGAATTCGGTCCCTGCTAAATGCTCACCAGCCCTTTGATACTTGTAAACTAGTTAAATAATATTTCTTTTATGTGTTAATACGCTTGAAGCAGAAATCGCTCCTCAAATGCATACTACTTTATTCATTTGACAGTAGTCGCTTTTGCCCAACCTGCAATGCCTCCCCATTGTTTTTTAGTTATTTACTCCGTTCGTTTTTTCATCTTACTTGCTTCGCATATGGAATATGAACAAACAAATTAATAATTTTGTTTCAACACATGTGAATAATGGAAATTTGTCGCAGTTGATTGGTTTATTTTAAGTGTTAAGTAAGTCTAATCATATTTAATCTTGCTGGTGATTCAAAAATTAAGAAAAAAAGACTTTTAAACATCCGAAAAATAATTCTGGCAATTGCGCAATCCAAATAGGAACAAAGTCCTGCAAATGCGCTCGTAAAAATGTTTTCCTTTAAAAGGTCATAATTATGCTGAAATGTAACAGCCGCGCTGAATGTTAAAACGGGTGGATCGACTGTGGTTAATCGCAGCAGATGATTGACAATGGTTTGTTGACTCCGTGCTGGATGAAGACTACTACCTGTTAGTGGTGGTACCAGATCTGTGCGGAGCAAATTGTGACGTGGAATTATCTATTTGCCATGTGGTGCTAAAGACTGGATGCCGTTCTACAGTAAACGTACTCTTCATGCCAGTCACTTATTGTGCTAACATTTAAGCCAAAGCAGGATTATTGCGTCAAAATTATGTCTTCAACTTACGATAAAAACTGTCTCTAGGTCACGTACGATTCGCCTAAACCCCATCTCGCTTCATTTGCATTTGTTGAAGTAAAGCTGAGTGTCAACATGCCACGCAATCGCGAGACCTTAGGCGCTGCTAGGATATCATGCTACTATGAGGGGTCTGCAACTCCTACGCAATGAAGAGCTCGCGTAGCTAATAACGTTTTGAAACAAATATCATTATCCTAAAGTTTATCTCTAGCATTGGAGCAGAAGTGAACAAGGCGACCTAATTTCCGGAGCAGGTCTGTTTTTTTTCCGTTAAATCCCTTCTTTCACTATTCTTACCACTTTAAAATTGCCACCAATAAATTGATGTCAAATTGCCCTTACTAAATTAAGTAGCATGCTAGATTTTTTCCGTTATTATGGCTAATAGCAAACGCCATTCCCAATCTACTAACTATAGTGACTACTGTCCCCATTTCAGTAGCGCATGCGATGGAGAAGTGTCACGCCCATATCGAACCTTCTTGCTGAATCAACCGTGAAATCACGTGGCATGAAATCAATAAAGTCGTCGTATTATCCCTCGGACATACACTGCATCTCCGAGGTAGCTGTCCATTTGAACCAAGGTGAGCCTATCAAAGCTACATTTTCAGTTTTATTACCACAATCCAAATTAGTCGTGTAGATTTTCTTTAAGGCGAATTCACTAATTAAGGCTCTAGATCGGAGTTAGATTCTTTTTTCTAAGGTGTAGAACTATATGCATGATTAATGCTGTTTTTTTCTAAAAAAAGAAAGTTAAAAGATTTCTAAATCGCCTACTAGTTACATTACTTACCAAGGTAGCTGTTTAGGGTTTTCCATTTTTAGGACGTTGGAAGCTATGGCGGACTCTGGGAAGGATCCTTGCCAAAATTCATCAGTAGGATCTCAGACGGCTTATCCAAAACTGAGTGAAGATGGTAAATCATGTTCGCAACAATCCCAAAACCCTTCAAGAGCATGTCAATCTAAGGACGCCTGTCCGCAGTCAACAGGCCAATCACAACCGCCTCAAGCAATAGGAAATGTTTCTTCTTGCTCTGTGAAATTGGTTTGCTGCCAAAGAAAGCAACGTCACTCACAGCAAAAGTGTCAGGAAGAGTCAGCAACGAAACGGTGTTCAACACCAACTCAGACCTGCTGTTCCAATGCCCCTCCACTTCAAAATTGTTGTCCAACCTTGAAGTGTCAATTTTCGAAGCCCACTTGTACAAAACCTCCATCTTCGCCCTGTTGCCCCAGCCCCTGTCCACCTCCACCCCCGTCGCAGGCGTGCTGTCCAAAACAACCACCCGTTTGCCCGCCACCTAATTGCCCACCCCCCAGTTGTCCAGCGCCCAGTTGT